CTGCTTTTCATCTCAATATTTCTCTGTTTTACCTAAATCTAATTCATTTCTCCCTTCTTGCTTTGGTAGCTTCATGATCACCTTAAACCGCGCCTTTCCCATCTTCATGGTGCTAGCTTGGATATATTCAGTTTCCATGATTGTGAAGAGTATAGTGCTGGAGAAGGAAATGCGTCTGAAAGAGGCTATGAAGAACAGGGGTATATCTAATGGGGTGATTTGGTGCACTTGGTTCCTAGACAGCTTCACCATGATGGCTGTGAGCACGTTCCTCCTCACAGCACTGATTATGGTAAGAATTGCCACTCTCAAAGTCACTGGTGTGTTTGCACTGCTGATACCTGTTTGCTGTTGAGAAAGAATCGTAGCCATTCACAGGGAGATGGGAATGGCTGTTCGGAGATGGTGGCCTGTTCGGATCACAGCACGTAGTAGGCACATTCTTCTAAGCAGACCTCATGACAGCATCAGCACTTGGCAAGGACAGAAAGATGAATTCACTGGTAAGATTTATTGTGAGATCCCCCACAGAACAATGCATCAGGCCGATTACACTGTATATTGTATTTCCAGTAGACATAGGCAGATCTTCCAATCAATAATAACTGTTGCTTTAAATAGAAGAGATCATAATACGAAAAATTTTAATCTTGCAATTTACCATACGTGATTCATTTATAATATTCAGTGCTTGTCTGCTTAGAAATTATGCCACTATTTCAATGGAAAAAGAGACTGCAAGTGCAGAACTTTCACAATAGCCTGAAAAACAAAAAGAGAAAAAAGACAAAAGAAAAAAAAACAACAACCCCAAACCCCTTTTCCTTCTGTGACTCAGAATTGCTGTAATTTTTGTAACTTTTCAGGACAAATTGGATGTTGTCTCTAAGGACTACCTCTTATCTCTCTTACCTGAGAACCAAGCTCCTCCTAGCTGCTGTATTCAGTTATATAAATCTGTAGCATTTTTATAAGGAAGAATGCCCTTGCATATTTTCTGACGTGGGGAACCAGTATAGCTATATACTATAGTTATATAGTATATATAACTAACGCATAGTTAAGCTTCAATCTGCTCTATCTTATCAACCTGCCCTGATGAGTTGTACTAGTTTCTTGCGGTTCCATTACAGCTTGGGTGGATAGAGAAAGCTTACTCTATTTGCTACACTGGTTTAATTAAATATCAGGAGGTAGTTAATACTAGAAAGGAATGTGCTTATACCTATAATTCACTTCCTTTTCTGGATTTCACTATGCCAGTGTGAGGCACCTTTGTAAATACATTCTTATGAGAGATTGTATCACTGTTGATAAAGAAATCAGTCTCAGAGGCCCAGTGGAATGTTGCAACCATGTTGAGAACTATTTATAGCCTTCTAGACCTATTTGAGCCTTATATAAGGCTCAAAACAAAATTGAGCCTGATAAATAGGTCTCAACATTGTTTTTTAGGAGTAAATAGACAATCAGCAGCAGTCCATGCTCTTCCTGAGAGAGAGTATTTAATCTACAAAAGCTCTAAGGAAGAAAGGTTAATAAAAGCTCACCCAGTGGGTTAGTTAGGACACAAGGATCTCTGAGAAACTGGGCTTGGATTCCTCAACTGCGATACCCTTCTGCAGTTTGAATATAATTTAGGTGCAGAAGCTCTATAATTTTCCTGGTTTGGGTTGGTTTTTTTTTTAAGATGTATTTTGTCAGGCTTCCTTACATTGTCTTTCCTGCACATCGAGCAAGTGGACTGGGGAGAAGGTGAGAAGAGATCAATGAAAATTTATTATGATAGTTCAAGTAGTTTTATTTAAAATGTATGAATTTCCAAGCAGGCACATCTTGCTTAGAATCATTCGCTTGTTAAGACAGGGACAGAATGTCCTTTTTCCATCAATTATGATCTTAATTCAGTGATAAAATATGAATATGAACTCCACAGCATATCGTGGTGTGGAGCAGGGACAATCCAGGAGCAAGGATAAAATTAGATGAAGAATTTGTTATTGTAATGACCTCAGGTGTTGAAACATTACTGCCTGGGAGAGTGGGAAGTCACATTAGGTAAGGAAGACTGGGTTATTACTCATTACAGGTTACACATCCATGGCAATTCTGATTTTTCTGCTAGTTCAGAAAGCGGCAATATTTCTAAAATTTTCCATTTTCCTTTTGCTTACAGTGCGGACAAGTACTACATTATAGTAGTCCACTTCTCTTCTTTCTATTTCTACTGACATTCACCACAGCCACCATAATGCAGTGTTTCTTGTTCAGCACCTTCTTCTCCAAAGCAAATCTGGCAGCTGCCTGCAGTGGAGTCATCTACTTCACCTTGTACCTGCCCCACATTGTCTGCTTTGTCTGGCAAGACCGCATGACTATTAATCTGAAGATCCTAGCAGTAAGCCTTTCACTGATTATATGGTATTATACTGGGTTCAAATTTTAGCTGCCCTTCTCACTATGCATATATGGGTAACAAAGCATTGCATACCTCTTCCTTTCTGCTTTTTTGATTCAGAGAGGGAGACCTCTGAATCTCACTCGAATAATTAGGGATTGCAAGTAAATAAGCCTTTAGCAAGACCTAACCAAGAGCTATTTTCATGGCTTTTAGAAAAATTCAATAAAATTTATTTTACTTTTTGAATGCTAGGAAATTAGCATAATGTTAAAAAAGTTTTGAACACTTCCTTGTAAGTCAAAGCAAATACAACTTCGGGTATGTTTAATAAATACAAAGGCAATTCACAAAATGGGGACAGTTATCTTTCTCATGTGCTATAACGTAGTTGAGAGGGTGATATCTAAGGATGAGAAGACCTCAGGTTCACATTCCTTCTTTAGCTGAACATAGAGTTAGGATTTGAACCCAAGTGCCAAAGCTCTGAGAAATAATTTCCATCAAAGAAGTTGTAGACATTCTCCATGCAGTGCTTCCTTGTTGGTTCTTTTCCATAATAGGCAATGCAGTGGAGCTGGAACTTCTTGCTGTTTTTTGAAATAGAACCGTGAACTTGCAAAGTCATTCAGACTGATTTTCTGTTGCCCAATGAATCAGGAAAGGGAGTGGGTGTTTGAATTTAGCCTCCCCATCTTCACTGAGCATTCTAACAACCTAGGTAAAAGGGAAGTACTGTCTTCTCTTGCACTAGGAAATTTAGTGATAAAGGAAAAAGAGAACAAAGCTCTTTAAAAGCTACAACTAAGTTTAAGTATGGCTATGAATTAGCTTTCTTAACTGATGTACTATCCCGATGTAGTATACACCATTTTTAGTTCTACCAATTAAGGCAATGAAGTGCAAAACTTGATCCTGTCATTAAGTCAGGAAATGAGTAGCGTTGGCCTATGACAGGTTCTGATTTAGGAAGAAATCTTGAGACTAGCATAAAGACAACTCTTTTCTCACTGTAAAGTGAAGGAGGAGGCAGCTGTGTAAGAAAGGGTATTTGCTGGCCAGAAGCCATGACTCTTTTTCTCTGTTCCTAATATGTTTGGTCTTATATTTGTTGTTCAAAGGTTAGCCTCTGAAGAAAAGCTAATTACAAGGGGTGACAAGGGGTGGGGTGTGCATGTGTAGGGGGCTTGAAGAAAAAGTAAAAATTATTAAGGACAAGAAAAGTAATTGAACAATGAATGTATTGCTGAAAACCACGCGTTTTTTACTTAGCACACTATGGTAATCCCTCATTAAGAGTTGCTGTTGGGATCCCTCTTGTCCACTCATTTTCCTAAGGTCTGGCGTTCCTGGCTGAACTACATATCCAGTGAAACAGCACTATATCACTTCTTGCTCTGTTTTTGCAATGCAACATTGAAGAGGATGTTTGGATACTATACTGGTTTATTAGTTTGTTGTGTGGGAACTAGGTAGCAGACACACCAGGTGAGGGGATGGTTGTGGTTTTCCTTATGCTGAACTTCTGATGTACTTTCTGTCTTTTTACGCATAGTGGCCCTGCCCCATACACTCAGGAAATATTTTGTTTCTCCAAGACAGGCAAAGGTGTACACTGCGAACGTCAAGATCCATTTATAGTATTTTCTGAACAGAGACATTAATGGAAAAAACCAAGTTGTGAAGGTTGCCTATTAGCTAAAGAAAGTACAGCCAAGGTTGAATTCAGTCTATTATGGCTAAATACTGCTTAGAATTGCTGTCATCCAGAGCATTAAACATCCCAGTCCAATATAAAAGTGAAACCACTTTTCCCCGATCGTTTGTTAGGCATTGTCAGTTTTGAAGTCCAGTCCCTAAAGGTCGTCTTTTTTTGTGGCTGTTTTACAAAATGTTGCTCTGGGCTGAATGTCATTTTTCCTTTATTCCAGAGTTTGCTTTCTCAAGTAGCTTTTGGTTTTGGTACAGAATACTTGTCACGCTATGAAGAGCAAGGTCTTGGCCTACAGTGGGGTAACATCAGAACCAGTCCCTTGGAAGGAGATGAATATAGTTTCCTTTTTTCCATTAAAATGATGCTTTTTGATGCATTTCTCTATGGAATAATTTCTTGGTATCTTGATAATGTTTTTCCAGGTATGTCAATTTCTTATTCATACAAAGTAGTGGTAGTTGTTGTAAACTGTGCTAGTCTAATCTGTCTCTGAGTATTTTTGTGTCAGAAAAAGCGTATTTGACATTGTACACCATGAGTCTTATCCAGTATAGCAGCACTGGTTTATTAAGGGCTTCCACTTTTCTGTCTTTCTTTTTCATTTCTCCTATTTTAGTCCTGAAAAGAATGGAAAAGGAGGAAAGAATAAGGAGAATGCAATTTCTGATCCTGTTTTAAAATTCAAATAGAAAATAAATCTACAAAAATGTCATCTGCTAAAAGCCAATTTGTGTACATTTTTTTTTTTATAAGCTTCAGCCATTTCTAGTAAGAATTTTTTAAATTTTTGAAAAGATAGAAATAACAGTTCTAGTCCACATATATACTACGGCCATATTAGGCTGACTGTTTCTTAAAGGATGATACTATTTCCTGAGACGTATAGTGTGTCCTAGGAGGCTGTGAAAGTTCCTGTGTGGATTTATTTTATTTCTAAATGGGAATCCTGGTTCTAGTGTGAGTTCACAAAAGGATTTTTTTTGTTATGAATTACAAAGTTTGGGAACTTTCTTTGCAAGAAAATGGTTTGTCCTTCTCAATGAATATTGTTACAGTATAATAAATGCAGACTGTTATGCTGTACAAGCTAGTGAGCTTTCTTTTCATTAATTTATTACTCCCACATGTGAACTGCAGTTCCAGGATGTGTTTCTTGGCAGATGGATATCTTTTTTTCTTTTTTCTCTTTTTTTTTTTTTTTTTTTTTGCTTGAGTAGTTACTCAGAATTTGAGATCTTGCAGATTTTCTAGCTATGAAGGAAAATTAATGATGGATAAGGTAACATGGTGCTTGTCTGCACACATCACTTATGATAGTTACTCCAAATCAAGAAAAGATAAGAATTTGTTAAATGGTTTTAGATATGTCTAAGGATATTTTGCTCCAAAATTAAAATATGACCTTGAGTCTGCTTTGTTTGTGTCCCTACCAAAGTGAGTTGTGATACACCAAATTAATACCTTTTCAGTTTTTAAGAAATGTGTCCTCACAAAGAAGTTTAATGCAATTTTAACATACTTATTTTCAAAACTGATTTGCAGTAACTTTCCTAAAAGCTCCTCTTTGGAGAAGCCTGTGTTGCAATTCTGTTTATTTAAAAAAGAACGGACAATGTACTATTTCCATGAACACAGCAGGAAGTAAACAACAGGAGTTTCTTTGCTCATAGATCCAAGTTGGTTTTTTGTCAGCCAGCACTTTACACAAAAGTAACGCCTCTCATAGCTTCTATTCATTAGCTTCAGTTCCTCCCAATATTTGCTCTGAGTGTCTCCTTGGCTTTCTGCTCCTCTGTTTCTGTGGAATTTCTCATAGCATTTCTCTGTCACACACATGCAGACCTACCAAATCAATGCTGTAGTGTTTGAGCTTACTGTAAGTTCCTTGTGTAATCCTTTGAACCATATGGTTCAGCTCCTGCTCAAGTTTTTCTGCAGCCAGCCACCCAGTGGCACACTGGTCCTGTGGCTATTTGAGCATTCTGTTCCATAATGGAGTTCCCTTAGGTTTTGCATTCATCCTGAATGAGAAGCAGTTGTTTTACCACAAGCTTCAAAGGGGTATAATCCAGTCTATAACAAGTGCAAGGCAAACTGCTTATGGATGCAGACAGAGTGTTTTTGTGCATTAATGGGAGTACAACTTTACCCTGACATACAGCGTATTTTTGGTAAGTCAGAAATAAGCAGACACTTTCACAAACACTGGTTTTCAATATAGGAAAAACTGACCATCTTTCAGTGAGCATCTCGAATTCCCATTGCTTATTTTGAATAAGTAGCACAAGGCCAATCACATCTGGGTTTGCAAGTATGCCGGTTCTAAACATAGCAGCTCAAATCCCTGCATCCTATAAATCAATATGATCCAGGAAAGCAGCGTTGACTTGCACTAGCTCTGGTCTGGCCTGACAAGAGCTTATAACATTATTGTACTTTCTTTTTTCAAAGCAGAATTAACTTGTGATCAAAAAAGGCCATTTCTGCTTACAAAAAGGATTACTCTGTTGTCACTTTTCCTGCCAGGATGTGTGTTGAAATAACAGCCAGGGTCTCTTTTCTCATTGCCGTTTCTGAATTCAGGCCCAGGGTAATAAGTAATATCATATATCTATAATTAATATAATATTATTTATATAATTATATATTATAATATAATCAAGTAATAATGTAATAACCCTGAAGCGTTAAGTGGGCCTTAAAAGAAAAATCCCCAAGTGAGGCTGGGAGTCCCATCTTAAGCAATCAGAATGTTCCTTTGCAGCTCCTGCCTGGTTGGTGAGGATTCAAATTGTTCCTGTGTAGGGAGTAGCTTCGTTCTGTAATTAAACCACATTCTACTTAAGAAAAGGTAAGGCCAAGCAGATCACATATTTCCTGAATATTTTGCTCCTGTCCAAAAGAAAGAAAAATAAATCTGCAAACAAAATCTGTTCTGTCAGGTACTTGGTGGATGGTTTGAGCTTGTGATATACAACACTAGGACTGCAAGTGTTTATAAGTATAGCCCAGACTTTGCCTAGATGAATTTGTGCCCACTGAAGAATGTGTTTATGAAGTGCACTTTACCTACTTATTTTTGTTTTAGGGGACTACGGGCTACCGCAGCCTTGGTATTTTCCTGTGCAGGAATCTTACTGGCTCGGCTCTAGAAACCCGAAAGCTGAGAAAAAAGCAACTGCTGATGGTGAGTTCTTTTAAAACTTTGGTGTTTAGAAATAAGCGGATCAGTGGTTTTGAAGTTAAGAGGTGACTGGGTAACATTTCCATTACCTGAGCTGCTGCAAAGATTAGAGGCAGCCATACACGGGGAATCACCGCAGGTGCCTTTGAACTTGGAGTGGCCTGCTATTACTAGAGTTATTAGAGGTGAGCCACTGTTCCATCTGAGAGCCTTTAAAGCATGGGTTAACAAGCAACATCAAACCCCCACTCTAACCAACACCTTTTGAGACATTCAAGTTCTTATTGCCCAGCACAGCATTTGTGAAATGAGTCAAAATGAAATACAATGTTGATCTTATTTGCACTGAGGCTCCTCCATCTTTCTAAATCTGGTTCTTTTCTATCTAGTTTGACACTACTTTAAGTATGTTTACTCTGGGTTTGTAAGCAAGATCAAAATTCATGCCACCCTTGGACCAACGTGAATGAAGTCACTTGAGTGAAGGACAAGGTGATAGGAAATAATGAACATGGATTTACCAAGAGCAAATCTTGCCTAACCAAGTCTGATTTTCTCCTGTGATGACTGGATCAATGGACAAAGGGAGAGCAGTGGATGCCATTTAACTTGCCTTTAGCAAGGGCTGTAGCACGGATTCACATAGTATTCTGATAGCCGAGTTGATGAGATACAGGCTGCTTGAGTAGACACTAAAGCGGGTAGAAGATTGACGGAACTGTTGGGCCCAAAGGATTGTGGTCAGCAGTACAAAGCATAACTAGGGACCAGTTATTAGTGGCAGGGGTCTGACAGGAACTGACACTGGACTTAATACTGTTTAATGACTTTAACAGCCTGAATAATGGAATAGAGGGCACCATGGGCAAGTTTGTGGAAAATACCAAATTGGAGGGAACAGTGGAGTGCAGGGCAACCCTTCAGAGTGACCTCAACAGGCTGGAGAAATGGCTTTATAGGAACCTCAGGGAGTTCAACAAAAGTAAATGCATAATACTGTGTCTGGGATGGAATAACTCTACAGGACAATACAGACTGGCAACCACCTGGCTGGCAGGCAGCTTTGTAGAAAAGATCAGGTTGACAACACGTTGAACATGAGCTATCAAGTGTGCCTGTGTAGCCAAGAAGACCAGATGCATTCTGAACTTCATTAGCAAGAGTATAACCATTAGTTCAAGGAAAGTGATTCTTCCCTTCTAGTCAGCACTTGTGAGACTGCATCTGGAGTACTGTGTTGTCCAGTTTGGGGATCCTCATTGAAAGGATGACAGAGCTACTGGAGGGAGCTCAATAAAGAGCCACCATGTTGATAAGGAGCTGGGACGTACAACATACAAGGAGATGCTGCTGAGCTCAGCCTTAAGCAAGAAAGATAAGATAGAGCTAGACTTGGCAGATGGTACCTGGTGGAAGAATAAGAGGCAATGGATGTAACCTGGAAGACAGGAATTCTGATTCAATATAAGAAAAAAATTGTTCATTGTGAAGGTAGTTATAACACTGGAACAGGTTGCTCAGAAAAGCTGTGAAATCTCCATTTTTGGAGATAGTCACTGTGATCTGAATTGGACCTATTTCTTGAGGATTGAACCGGAGATCTTTGGAAGTTCCTTCTGTATAGCCTTTCTCTTCATGTGGTGAAGAATTTGGTCTAGAGCTGCATGGACAAAATATAAACCATGTATCTAATATTAGTCAGGATCTTTTATTCTGAGTCTATAATTGCAAAATTATCAGTCGTCTTCTTAAATGTCTGTTCCTGACACTGTGAAGCAGATTTTAAGCTAGATGGCTTTGAGTGCTATGTTCCTAACCTGAGTAAAGCACTGATGATTAAAGCTCTTGGAGAGCTCAGTGCTTACCACTGCCTTCTTTTCCTCAAAGCACCTCTAGAGATAAGAGGAAATTAAGTTTTGGTCAATTAAATGTTTGGTTATTTTTGGTTTATATAGAAAAAAGTCCAGAGTTGGAAGGCTGTGTGGATCAGAAGGCCATGGAAGGGGAAAAAAATGAAAGCGGAACAAAGGAATCTGAAGAACCTGAAAAGCCAGAAGAAAAGAGTGACAACCAGGGGAAGAAGTATGGTAAAAACAAACGATGTAAACACAAACAAGAAAAAGAACCTGTGAAGCAGGAGAAGTCTAAGACAGATATCCAGGACAAAGATGAAATTAATAGTAAGGAGAGCAACCTAAGTATTTCTGAGATACTATACTCATTGTATTTCATAACAAACTAGACGTAGGAATGATTGGAGTCAAACTAAACAGCCCACTGGGCTACAGAGGGTAGCATGCAACTGCTCAGGAGAAGCACTGACTCTCCCAACTATCTTCTAACTGATTCCTCTACATTCACAATCCCTTAGAATATTTTAGACACCACGCATAAAAGCTGCCTTCCAGAAGAGCTCTGTAACTTGTTTTTTATCGTGCAAATGCAGTCTGTTTCTATAGCAAGTTAGTGCTCATGCTGAGGGAAGCCTAGGAGACACATACATTGACTTCTTAGAATTAAACAGAGCCATGACTTCAATAAATAGACTTATGCTGAGAGGAATGTTCTTCCCTTCTAGCCCCCCCCCCCTTTTTTTTTTTCCTGTCTTTAGTGCGTCTAGTCATCTTTAAGGAAAGGCTGGTTTCAAAGGGATTTGTCTGAAGTGCTCTGTGTGTCTGTCTGCAGCCTTTTATGATGCTGACATTAGCCACCACGTAAGAATTCCTGAATGACCTGCCTTGTTTTCAAGTCCCAATGTCTTCTTTTGTGGGGAGCCAGAGGACTTTTCTGTATGTGATGCTCAGAGGAATGCATGTGGATTCTGTAGCAAAAGAAACTGCTACAGACAGCTCTGGGCCCACTCTAACTCTCTTGAAAAGCTAGAGATAAAAGTGGGGCCATCGGAGCTCCTCACGTAGGCACTGAAAACATGCATTCAGGGTGAATGGAAACAGGACAGGACTTCAAAAGAAAAAAGACAGGCAGAGGGCAAAGGTTATTCAGCCAATCTTCTCCTAGTACTGCCTTATCTTTGTGGTGCTGTACTCGTCAGCCTCCCAGGTTCCAGCTGCTCCATGGCCACAGAGCAAGGGTTTTGCCTGTCACTGCACAAAAAAGCCTGCCAGACACACAGGAAGTGGGAGACATGTGGAGAAGCCAAGAGCAGAGCTGGTATGGTTCAAGGACACAGTTTCCAAAATGGCTTCATGTAAGAGCTAGTGCTTCATGTAAGAGTAATGGGGTGGGAAATGGAGAGTAGTTCTAATGGCTTAACTCCAGTGCAGTCCAATACTAGCATGGGTTAGCAAAGCAGGGCAGACACACTATAAATCTGTCCTAATTGCCTGATACACTTTAAGCAGATCTTTCACCAAAGCCCCATCCACATCCCCCACAAATGCTGCCACCTCTGAAGAAAAAACTAAATGGCCCAAAATTGCACTGAAGGATGTATTATAGCCTATTCAGGATCAGAATGGATAAATATGAATCATCAAAAAAAAAAAAAAGGATCTCAACCCTCCACCAATATCCTTCATGTGATGCAAAGCAGATACTGGAGGAGATCATCAGAGAATTTGCCTCAGAACTTGTCAGTGAGTCTTGCAGGCAAATATGAATTGACCTTGATATGTATAAACTGAGGATGGTACCTCTATTGCCAGCATATGCAGCACTATCTAGCCAGACGTGTGAACTTTTGTAAATACAGGGATGTTTGTACTTGGCCCAGTAAGGTAAAAGGAAACCTAGATTCCTTCACAAAGCAAAAGAAATTTTTGTCATAAACATAACTTCATTTAAAATAAAGGTACCCATTCTAGATGAATTATTTCAGCTGCTCTGTGGTATGCACAGCTCTATCGTGTACAACATATTTGGGACTTTTTCCTGAGTATTGTTTATAATGACAGTCATAGAAGCACATGGGCAGGTGAACTAGACCAGATTGCTCAAAGTCCATCCAACCTGGCCTTGAATGTTTTCAGGGATGGGTCATCCACAAATTCTCTAGACAACCTGTGCCAGTGCCTCACCACCCTCAGAGTAAAGAATTTCTTCCCAATATCTAATCTAAATCTACCCTCTTTCAGTTTAAAACCATTACATCTTGTCTCATCACTACACTCCCTGATAAAAAGTCCTTCCCCATCTTTCCTGTAGGCCCCCTGTAAGTACTGGAAGGCTGCTATAAGGTCTCCAGGTGGAACAACTCCAACTCTCTCAGCCTGTCTTCATAGGAGAGGTGCTCCAGCCACCTGATCATCTTTTTTGGCCCTCCTCTGGACTCTCTCCAACAGGTTCACGTCCTTCCTGTGCTGGGGACTCCAGAGCTGGAAGCAGTACTCCAGGTGGGTTCTCACGAGAGCAGAGTAGAGGGGCAGAATCACCTCCCTCAACCTGCTGGCCACGCTTCTTTTGATGCAGTCCAGTATGCCGTTGGCCTTCTGAGCTGCAGGCAAACATTGCCGGCTCATGTTGAGTTTCTCATCCACCAACATCCCCATGTCTTTCTCCTGAGGGCTGCCCTCAATCCATTCTGTATTTGTTCTTGGGATTGCCCCAGTTGCAGGACCTTCATGAGGCTTAAATTCATGAGGTCAAACTTCATGAGGTCCACACAGGCCCACCTTTTCAAACCTGTCCAGATCCCTCTGGATGGCATCCCTTCCCTCCAGTGTGTTGACTGCACCACACAACTTGGTGTTGTTGGCAGACTTGCTGAGGGTGCACTCCATCCCAACATCCATGTCACCAACAAAGATGTTAAACAGCACTAGTCCCAGTACCGACCCCTGAGAAGCATCACTCAAACAGAAAGCATGTTCAGCTTCACCTGATCCAATGAGTTACCTCTCCACAGACCATTACAATTCTGGGCTCTGCTTCTCCTGTCATTGATACATGGTGAATCTAAATAAATTGCACTGCAGTTAGAAATCTTGCCTCAGTTTGGTACTGGTATGACTGGAGAATCTGGCCCTCTCACATGATGCTGTATTTTACTGGGTATGTGTTGTTGCTTCTGCACTTATTGATGTGTCATCATCAGAACTGGGATTAAAACATGTGCTTTTATTCCTTTTTCATTCTTGATTTCTTGCCTTTCAAGTAAATACGTTCTTTGAGCCTGAGCCAACAGGGCTGATTCCAGGAGTGTGCATTCAGAACCTGGTGAAGATTTTTGCGAACAGGCCCAAGCCAGCAGTAGATGGGATGAATATTACTTTTTATGAGGACCAGATCACAGCCTTCCTTGGTCACAATGGAGCAGGAAAGACAACCACCATGTAAGTGTGTATTTTAGAAGAAGCAAATCCAGGGCAGTGCTCTATTGCTCTGTCCTGAGGAGCAGTCTTCTCTTTTCACTCTTCCCTTGTCTCTCTACCACCCCAGCAACTAGCTTGATGAGCAACATCAAGTTTTTCCAGACATGGAAATGCTGCCCCTAGGCAAAGAGAAGATATCCTGGATTAGCTAAAGCCCTTGGAGGGAGGCAATGCATGACAAAAACAAGTGAAAGTCTAGAGAGAAGGAAGAAATTCTCTCCCTTAGAATTCACTTCCCATGGCCAAACTCCCAATAGGTGAAGAGAGGCAAGGATCTTCTGGCTGAAAGACCTGAAGATTTGAAAACCACCACACTCCATGTGTTCTGGGTTTTTCTCTCTAACTGGCTTTAAGTCAGTTACATTTTTTAGTTTGTGTGCAAAGGAATATAAAAGATAGGACCTCTTTAGACAAAATGGTTACATATATGCAAGATCCATGTCTAGATTAAAATGTTCCTCTAGTCCTAGAACCCTACCGTCTCAGGAAGCTGGACTTCAGGAATGTTTAATTTTCTTTATACAGTACTTTATTTGGCAAAATAGGATTAATTGGTGAACAAAACGTTTCCTGAGTCTGTGACCAGTTCACCAAATGTTGAAAGAACTGAAGTGTTTCATTATGATGTTTCCCAGAAGAACGCTATTTTTTTAATTAAAAAAGACTTTTATGCAAAATGCACTTTAAATTACCTTTTTTTAAAGCTTTTCCACAAGAAATGTTTGATCCAAAATAAAAGCATTCTAATCTGCTGAAGCATTTGGTAAATTTGTTTTTCTAGTCTCCTGACAAAACCAAGAATTTTTTATTGCTTTCAGATTTTCAGAATTGAAAAATCCATTGTTCTTCCAAATCTAGTAGCAGGTTGCTCCCAGTTGCAGCATAACATTCGGTCCTCTTCCATTTTACAGAAAATAAATGTATAGAGCGTGGGTCAGCATGGCTGGAAACCTCAAACCATTATTCTCTATCTTGGTCCTAGTGAGCTTCATTTTAGACCCTTTTGTATATAGGGGCGATGTAACATGCTGAACTCTGAAACAGAGCAGCTGACTAAAACAATTTTTTCATGCAAGCCAGAACCATACAGGCAGGTGTATCAAAAATTACGTTAGCAGATCCACAAGATTTTCACTGTAGCAGGACGAGTATTTATGTATATGCTTTTTCCTGGAGTTGTTTCATCAAGGCCCATAGTAAGAAGTCCTCATGCTCCATCTAGTGGAATCATGCAATGCATTTGCCTAATCTGGCACAGAAAGATAGGAGAGTGGGAATTTCCTCATTTTATTTTCCCAGGTCGATACTGACAGGCCTCTTCCCACCCACCTCTGGAACTGTGCTGATTGGAGGCCTGGATATTCAAACTCACATGGACTCCATTCGGCACAGATTAGGCATGTGCCCTCAGTACAACATCTTATTCAATCAGTAAGTATCCTTCCATACTAGCTTTAAGAATAAGAGTCCTAGTCTGTATGCTTGACACATCCCCAAAGCCTGTGTTTTTTCTCTTACTGTGCTGGCAGTAGGTATATCTCAGAGGCACTTCTCCAGCTCTTAACACTTGCATAGGGTAGGTGATGTCCTTCTCCGGTAGAAATCTCCTGCATCACTCAGCTGGGAACAAAGACATTTCCAAGGAAAATTACAGTGCTCTTGGTGTTGGTGTTTTCTGTTGCAGTGTGGGTTAGCAGGAGTTCAGCCTGGGGATTCATGCACTATAATTTAGGCCTCCTATAGCAAAAAAAAATATGAGTTGACAGTGCAGTAGCAGGACATTTTTACACCCATTTTGCACTACCATCAACCTCAGGTGATTTACAGCTTCATTGCCATCAGTTTGTGTTCATCTCAACAGCAGATTCTTCCTTAATGTAGCTATGCCCATTAGCTCCCATTTTATTCCCATAAATGTATAGCTTGATGCCTGCTATACCTGTTCCTTTACTAGCAGGTTCTGCTTTGAAGAGGCAGAGAAAGAGCCTGTGAGATCTGAGTGAAGTGCGTTGATCCCAAAGATCTGTGATCCAGATTTAGGATAAAGCAGCCCCTTTTTCTTTAGCAAGATAAAGCTAAAGTGAATCTATTGCTACTTGGGGGAAAAAAAAATCTACTTATTCATTTGAATTGCCCTGGTGCTTTTCTGTCTGATTTCACAGCCTTACTGTAGCAGAGCACATCTTGTTTTATTCTCAACTGAAAGGGAGATCCAGGGATGAAGCTGAGCAAGAGTTGGAAACAATGCTAGAAGACACGGGCCTCGCCCATAAAAGGAATGAAGAGGCTCAGAATTTGTCAGGTGCCCGCAGGATTGTTCTAAGATGTTTTTTCTGCTGCCTTTTCTTTATCTTTTGGTAATTACTGTTTGAATTACATGTTTGAGGCCATATTTTGATACATCGCTCTGCACTGAGGTCGTCTTTACTCTCAAAGAGTAAATCATAGAATCGTCTAGTTTGGAATGGATCTTTAAGATCGAGTCCAACCATCAACCTAACACCACCAAAACCACCACTAAACCATGTCCCTAAATGAGACTAATGGGACTGTACAAATAGTAAAGCTGGCACAAACTGTCCCTAAAGCTTCTGTTTCTTACAAATATACAACAAATTCAGATATACTTAAAGCTGTTATTTCTAAATGGTATATATTAAAAAAAAAATCTGTCAACATAAGAAAAAAAAAATACAGTGTTCTATTATTTCAAGGCAAATGAAATATACTATCATGCTGCTCTACTGTTTGGATCAGTACTGTATAGTACTGTATTATTTGGTAGGAGTAATTTCTTTCATTCTAAAGGTACAAAGGCACATAGTGTATTTGAACAGATTTCACTTTCAGATTCAAAAGGTGATTTGAATAAACAGCCAGGTGTTCTTATACTACTTTGTCCTGATTGCAACTGTAAAAGTTGGCTAATTTCACACGAGAACATGAAAATCTCATATCTTCCCACTTTTGCTTCTGACAAAAAGAAAATGCCATACATAGATGAAAAATACATTTTTGAACAAGCTGTTCTGAACTCCAGAATAACAATGAGACTATTGATTTAACTTTGCAGAAATATTTGTCTGAGAATGGGTTTTGTTTTACTTGTATCAGTTTGTTCTCACACTGAAAAGTAGTGTTAGTTACATCCCTGCCACTTAGGTAGCTTATCTCAGACTCCTGGATGTGTCTGTCCTCTGGCAGGTGGAATGCAAAGGAAACTGTCTGTTGCCATTGCTTTTGTGGGTGAAGCAAAAGTGGTAGTCTTGGATGAGCCCACTTCTGGAGTTGATCCATATTCCAGGCGATCTATCTGGGATCTTCTGCTGAAGTATCGCTCAGGTAACAGGTTGGAGGGTGGAAATAGTTTTAGGTTTGTTTAAAAAGCCCTGTCATAGATGCAGCATGTGCCTGGTGTAAACTGTTACGAGTAGTGTGATATGAATAGAAGCAAACAAGTTTCTTTTAACAGGTACCTATGGATGTGGCAAACCTGGGACCTGTCTCTGGTGCAGAGAAAACCCTGCATTAAATGCCAGAAAATAAGCACAGTTTTGAGTTCCAGACAGAGTCCATGCCTTAAGCATCCCTCCTTGTTCCTTCTAGGCAGAACCATCATCCTCTCAACCCATCACATGGATGAGGCAGACATCCTTGGAGACAGAGTGGCCATCATATCCCAAGGGAAACTCTTCTGCTCAGGCTCTCCTGTATTCCTAAAGAACTGCTTTGGGTCTGGCTTCTATCTCACTCTTGTTCGCAAGATGAAAGACACCAGAATTGGAAGGGCTACAGTAAGTACGTAGCTCCCTCCCTGCACATGTAATCTGAAAAGTCCTTACGCATATTCATGCAGTGGACCAAGGTAGAAAGCAGTTAAGGGCTGCTTGAGGCTGTGTACAAAACTGACTTCAAAATGAAGAAAGCAGTGAGAAAATTTGGTGACATGAAAATCTACATGAGTATGTCTAAACTTTTACCAGTCAAGTCGCCTTTGTCCATACACAGGTCTTTCTGATGCTTGCTTTTGCAGTACACTGGTTGTAAACACAGTGTAGTCTAGTCACTAGCTCAGAGCCCAGAAAAGTCTACATTCATCCATAGCTAAATCACCCTTGCATAGCTTGAGAAGCAGGGATCTAGTTTCTTTCTGCTGTTGGTAGTGCTTCCAGTCTTAGTAAAAGCATGATCTGTATACTTGTGGCCACTGCTGATGGCGTTTCCCTGGGTATTTTGTATGCAATTTAGAACTGACAGATATGCTTTGTGCAGGTGGATTTATGTTTTCTGCATTGCTTAATCCAGTCCTCAGATGACTTTCAGTATAATGTGTTCAAGACGCTCCAGATAGGACATATTTTTCACTGACTCAAGCCATTCAAAGGCTGACAATGCTAACATCCTCTTTTGCATGTATCTGAAGCACTTTCATCTTTATCTGTTGCTTGTCCATGCTAGTCGCTTTGTAGCTGTGGATCTCAGTGTTCCTGCTCCTGCTCCAGCTGTGCACGCAGGGACAAAGAAGGAACTCCAGAGCAGGAACTAGATGGTAAGTGGGATGGTTCCGCATTCTAGCATATAGCTATGTCTCCTGTTATGCTGCAGTCTCATCTTACAAATCAACGCTGCTGAGGCCTACTTCTTCAGTACTTGTATCTGATATATGTACTGTATTGTAACATTAATTTTATAAGGTTTCTTTGTGATTTTGCTTACCATTACCCCTTTTTGATGTGTATGTGGTGTCAGGTACAGATGATGAACTGGAAGTTTGTGTGCTTTAGAAATATAGACTGAGTTTTGAACTACTTTTCACCAAATGTGTAATTTCTTAATGGAAGCTGAAACATATCTAGAGCAAAGGAAACTTTATTTCTCAAAAAAAAAAAAAAAAAAAAAAAGTCATTTTGGCTTTTCTACATAGGAGAACTGAAGTAGATGCTCCTGAAGATTTTGTTGTGCTTTATTAACAGACCTGAAATAGTTTCCTGCTACCTATGTCCAGAGCATAATTAACAACATGGCCCAGCCTAGTACAGAATTAACTGAGATGTCTTTGGGTTATGTAATAGAGCAGTCCCCTTTTGTATAGTGCAAACAACAGCTTTTGAAATCATGCTTAGCATGGTTAAATATTCATTCTTTGAACACTGTTTTGACTTTTCACAGGAGATCTGAATGAGCTAGCAGAAGTAATTCACCATCATATCCCAGAAGCAAAATTAATTGAAAGCATTGGTCAGGAACTCATTTACCTTTTGCCCAATAAACACTTTAAACAGCGATCTTATGCCAGTCTCTTCAGAGAACTGGAGGAAACATTGGATGACCTGGGACTCAGCAGTTTTGGAGTTTCAGACACACCACTTGAAGAGGTAACGGAGAGATTGAAATGTCTGCTGATCTCATCATCAGTCCCCAAAATGTTTTTCTGAGACAGTTCCTGTTCTTAAATGTGAAATCTTACTAATTCCTAATATCCCCTTCAAAATCTAGTCGCATATGAGGTGGCACACTCAGAAAGTCTTTGGAATGGGCATAAAGAAAGGATCTAAGCCTTCCGTCATGTTAGCCTTGTGCAGCATGACTCATTAGCCTGAAATCTCTGTCTGCGTGTGTTAGTTTGTTCCTTTCTTTGTTTTCTGAGATATTTCATAAGAGACCTCTGATTGTGTAATAAGCAGGAGTACTGAAAAGGTGTCTAATTTTCTTTTTCTGTTACATTAAAGGATGATGTATCGTGTTCCAGAGGTCAGGTTATTGGACCTGTTTTATTCCTAACTGTGAAATGTATTTATGTCTGGCAGGTTTTCCTAAAGGTCACAGCAGAAGCTGACCCTGGAATGCAAAAAGCAGGTATAGATCCTTGAATCAGTATTTGATAAACTTTTCTTGGGACTGCTCTGTATTCTGACCACCAAGTAAAGAAGAGCCTCAGAACTTTCAGTCTTTGTATGGTGTTCTTGCCAAAATAAATTTGGTCAGCAAATATCTGTTTTTAGGGCCTGACATGATATCTGAGAAACAAGATGAAGTCAGCAGAAAGACTTTTATTTAGATTGGATGAGGTTCTTAACTATGTAAATAAAAGTGGAGTGTCAAGCCCCCAGATGTCAATGGTTTTAGGAGTTTTATAAAAAGTATTTTGCTGACCATTAGTCCATAAGCGACATACATGATTAACTCGTTCATCCTGCTGAGTAAGAGGAGTGTTAACATATATGATGCCACTAGATACAGCCACAGAGCAACAGTTGTAATTAAAGCAAGTTGGTGATGTGATATATACAGTTGGTAAAATCTGGAGCTCATTAAAATGTTTGTGCTACCTTGAGGTATGGAGGATAAAGTGTCTTCTCTGCCCCTTTTCTTCTTAAACTAGGAGACACTCAAGAAAATGGTTCTACTCTTGACAAAACTACTGAGAACAAACCAGCTGAACAAACTGCACTGAAAACTAATGACACTTCTCGAATGCCAGTAGGCATAGCAGGAGATCAAAATGAAGGCAAAGGGTCGCGACAGTATAAAGGTTTTCAGCTTATACATCAGCAGATCAAAGCACTGCTCATCAAACGGTTTCACCATGCCTCCCGCAGCCACAAGGACTTCCTAGCCCAGGTATTGACTTATTTTTCTGTTCTTGTTTAATCCTGTCTTTCCCAACAATGTCTCTGTGCAAAGCAACAGAGGTGCTGCAAATGGCTAACAGTGTCCCTAACTGTTTTGAATCCAACTCTTCTGCCTCTTATTCTATTTCTTTCTGCCTAGAGTCTATCACCCACACCAAGTTCATGATTCAGTCACTACTAGCCCAGCATTTTATTTTTAACATAATAAAGTTCTGTGACAAACAGAATCTTAACTGAAAGCATTGGAAATTAAATTGTTGGTATTCAGGAGTTAAACCAGATCTGATCTGTGTGCTCCTTCTGTCCCTCTTTTATTTATATATATATTATGAGGTATGTACAGTGTCCGTCTACAACATATATTTAATAACCTAGTGTGATGTTTTCATGTTCCCTGCAGATTGTTCTCCCTGCTAGTTTTGTGTTGCTGTCTTTAATACTTACAGTCATTATTCCTCCGTTTGGAGAATATCCCGCCTTAACCTTACACCCTTGGATCTATGGACAACAGTTTACTTTCTTCAGGTAAGAGGAATTCACTGAGTAAACTACATCTGTCATATATACACCCTTTTCTCCCTAGAGTTTAGGGTCATGGGGCCCTGTCTTACTGGGTTTTTCTCGCTCTATGTGGTATAAAAAAGGATTCACTCCACTGGAATCAGCAGATTTAAAATAGCATGAAATTGGTGCAAGTGGAGAATACAGCTGCTAGTATGTCTAATCAATACCAATATCAAATATCTTGCTGTCTTTGGTACTCTCTTCTTCCTACCTGAACTCATGACCTCAACACTTACAAAGTTCATATACTGCCTAACAGGAGATCCAGGACAGTAAGAAATCTCACTGTGTCTGATATGCCATTGAACTACCCCTATATTCATAATCTTGGCGAAAAAATGAGATTCAAGCCTATCTGCTGACCTGTAGTAGATTTATTTATAGTTATTACAGTATTTGGGCAAAGTTATGGAAACAAGATGAAAGCAGAGACTCAAGTTTTATTAATGTTGCTGCTTAGCAGTTTCTCCCCACACAGTAGCCTTTGGTTGGGTCTGAATTTTTTTTTTTTTTTTGGTCTACTAGCACTTTGTCTCCTTTCATTCTTCATAGAAGCTTCAGTTCTGTTCTCTCCCAGTCACTGCACAATTCCTCTGTCTGTCCTGAACACTTCCTTCACCTTGACTTCCACGTATTCCAAAGCTGAACTTTCACCAAGTCAAAACATGTGCCGTGCAGAGGAAATTTAGAAACAATGTTCAAGTCCTAGACTAGCTCACAACTAGCAGAAAGCAGCAAAACTGAAGGCAATAATTTTGAATAATTTTCCTTGTGTTTCATACTGAAAATTCATAAGAAACTTTAATTTACACGTGGTAGCGTATGGAGCAGAGTTTGATATTCATACTTGTATAATACTTGGCACTAGCAATATTCTGTAGTCCAATGTTAGTAAGTTGTTAGTTGCAAACACTTCACTATTTAACAGCATTGTCTCTTTGGCTTCAGCAAATGAAAATGCAGAATATGTTTTTCATCTTCTGATTACTAAGTGTGACAGGGCTGAGAGGGTTGAAATGTGGATTCAAGCCCTTTTGGAGAATGTTCCTATAGGACTATGTCAGAAGCCATGCTTTAATATTGGGAGAAAAGAATCATTGCTTTAGCCTGTTAATCATCTTGGAAGATTCTGGATTTTTGCATAAATAAATAAATTAATTGAATTATCAGCATTTGGAGGCAGGCAGTTGGGTCTGCCATATGACTGTCCTTCACCAGTTGCTATGTGTACTCCAGTACAATACTTCGAAAAAAATTTTCATAGAGAAAGTCCTATCTTATTTCCTTAGCAATGAGCGTCCTGGCAGTGAGCAGATGGTCTCCCTGACTGATGCTTTCTTGAATAAACCAGGATTTGGAAATCGCTGCATGAAGAATCAGCCTCTTCCGTAAGTTGCAAGCTAATCTCTCTTGAACGAGATTCTAGCATGGTATTACTAGTGGAACTTGAGTAGTGAAACAAGAATTAATTGGCTTGACTTTTCACTAGAGGCAATGCTTCAGATATATTGTTGGAAATAATTTCTCATATCAGGTCAAAAGTAACAAAGAGCAATGCCGCTGGATTAAGAATGATTCACAGTGCTCAATGTGACTAGCTGGAAGCCCGCTCATGTAGCCCTCTACTGAGAATTATGCAACCTTGAATTGTATGTCAGTAGGCCAGTGGGCTCAGACCCAAATCTTCAGAGCTTCCCTGGCACTTGCCACGTGTGAGTCCCCTCAGATTCCTCCTGTTCCCAGTGGTGTGTTTGGAAGCAATAGCTTCAGCAATTGCTGGGATTGTGAAGTAGCAATAGGACAGCCTCTATGAATTGAAGCTATTCTTAGTCTGGAAGACAACATTAGTAGGGCTCTTACTTTAACATTTGTTGTCCTACCCTCTTACCCTGACTGTGGGTCCTGCTTTGAACACATTTGTCACTGGCATGCTATGCTTTGCCATTTGTTTCTTTTCTCCTGCCTCTCTCCCAGTCATGATATCCAGCAATTTGATTCTTCTGGTTGTTGTCTCCTCTCTCTTTCCTTTCCTCTCCTCTCCTCTGTGTGGTACAGCAGGAGCAAAGAGGAAACGTTAAAAAATAAAAAGAGAAAAGATATTTCTGGAGCAAGGAAAAGGATAGTTTCTTCACAAAAGATATGTCTGCTGCAGATTTCATATATACTAATGGGTTAAACGCAGTTCCCTTTTTCCTTCAGTGTCCTATCCACAAGGTGAGGACAGTAAACTTGGCAGAGATGTGGGGGGAGATGATATTGATTCATTTTTACCAAATATTCTAAAATGTTCTTATTATTCATAACTCGCAGGATAAGGGCTGAGAGGAGAATGTCTGCTGAGAGCATTGTGATTTTGTGGATTTGTGAGCGCAAATTTTTGTGGATATCTCTCAACAGCTTAAAGCATCTGTTCCTCTACACAGGAACTACCCATGCAATGATATGCCAACTGCCTGGAACACACCTGCTGTTCAGCCTAACCTAAGCAGCCTCCTGCTGAGCCAGAAGTGGAGCCCTGAGAATCCTTCACCTTCCTGCAAGTGCAGTACTCACAAGAAACTCACTATGCTGCCAGAATGCCCTGCAGGTGCAGGAGGCCTCCCGCCACCGCAGGTAGTGTCCCTGTAACACAAATCTTTGTGGAAAAGTTTCAGGGCAAGTGCTGGAAAGGGACTAGTGTGTAAGCATCCTGACATGCCAATATACATTGAAGGAATTAAGTTCACTTTTTTAAGGGAGCAGGAATTGCTGGAATCTGGAAATCGGTTTTCAGAGGAAAAGCTTGTACACTTAAATGAAATTTGATTACTGTTTTCATCCAAATTGCAAACTCTTCATAAAGAAGAAAATCACAAAAAATTAACAATTTATCAAATAATTTAAAATATTTTTTTCTTGCCTCAAAGCACAATTCTATTTAGAAGATTGCCTTTCTTTAAAGAAGGGAAGAGAAGGAGGGAGAAAGAAGAAAGGAAGAAACAAAAAATGTCATGATCTTGAAAATCATGGCGTCGGGTCATGTCATGAAAACTGGAAAAATTAATATTGAGTCAACCCCAAATAATTATTTTTTTACGTGTCTTTTGGTTCCATTCCTTGAAAGAAAGTTCTAAGCTAGCAAAATGAATGTTTGTATGCATGTGCATGAAGATGAGTAATAACCGCTGATGCTGTATGGAGAAGAGATGAGAGCTACATTCCTACCTCTTCCTATCAATGAGTAATCTTAGTAGTGCCCTTTATAAAATGTTCTTGCTCATTTGAAGAGCAAAGGAAAATTATAGTCTGTTAGTGTTTACATTTTCTAAATGTTTTTCTAACAAGTTAAAGAAAACAGAATTACAGCCATTCTCAGGGGAATAGCTCACTAACTTAATGTCTCACCATGCACAACGTTCAACTTTAATATTGTTGTTTGCCAGGCTGCACACATTAGCCAAATGACTGAAATAGTTCTAGTTTTAACACTAATGTTAAATCAAATAATCAATTTCTGAATCCAAATCCATGACACGATGTCTTAAAAATACTGATTCAGCTTGGTTTCTCTGTCGTTATTCACAAAACAACAAAGCAAATTTGTTTTAAATATCTGTAGAATTCCTGTATGTGAAACGAAAAAAGAAATTAATAAAGAGGTTATATTCTGACCTGATTCATAACATCCCAAGTTATTTCTGATTTCGAAGTAATCCCTGTCCAAGGGACAGCCAAAGTTGAATTTTGCTAATTGCATGCTAGTGTATGAGAGGAAAATTTAGTCTAAAACTTCAAATCCAAGTAGGATGCAAAATTATTTTTTTTTGTTTGTGGGGATTCTAGTCCTCTAAGGGAAATGTATTTATTGTAATATTATCCTGATAATTTCGCAGGATATGATAATTTTGTATAACTTGTCAGGAAGAAACAATTCACATTTGAGTCTCCAGGGAAGCAACAGTATGTAAATAATTGTGATGCCTGAGCACAGAGAGCTTATTTAATGAAGGCACTATGAGGATGCTACCTCTGAATTGCCTAGAATCAGCTAGATATCTGTAATGTAACTTCTGTGTCACCTGGTACTGCCTCTCTGTGGGCAAATGTAGGAACTTCCAGAAAGTCCATTAGACTTACTCTCTAGGTCATTACTAGGTCGTTTCAGGTTGCAAGCTTTGCCCTCTGAAACTGCCTAGGAACCTTTTTAAGTATATTCTACCTTGGGATAAACTCAGCAAGTTTCAGGTCTTGCGTTTCACAGCAAACCCTGTATGTGCAGAAGACTCACAAAGGTGTCATGTGGCATCATTTTCATTACAAAAAAAGAGTAATTTTCATTCAAATAATCTAACGTGCTAGTGTAGGTGAAGTTTTCCTATTAATTTTTACTTCTACTTGCTAAATCATAGGAAACCTGATCTTCACTGGGACCTCAATTTATTTGAAAAGCTCTGTCTTTCACAGTGGAAAAAAAAGCCTCGAGCAACCCTGGCCTTTGCTGCAAATAACTCAGGTCAAGTTTCAGAGTGAAGTGCAATTGTTTTGTGTCAGGCATAGCAAACTTCTGTGATTTGATGCTTTCTTCTGAAATCTTAGTAAAGTAAGGATGTTTAGGCTAGAAAATGAGTGACCCACACTCATTTCAGTGATACTATGAACCTGAGCAATTCCTCTGAACCAAAGCTACTTTTGCTCTTTTCCTGACAAACACTTGCTCAATAGCTTTAGAAATTGTAAACTTTAGTGCAATTGATTAGCTTTTCTTTTCTTTCCAGAGAGTGCAGCACAGCACAGAAATTCTTCAAGATCTGACACACAGAAATATTTCAGATTTTCTGGTGAAAACATATCCCACTTTGATAAAAGGGAGGTAGGGATGAATCCTTCTTTGTTTTTCATATGCGGTATTTTGTATCTGGCCATGAAATTCTCATTTAACAGTAACACATCACCTGATGTGCTACAGTATTGCGTAGACATGAGCATCATGTCCATATTAGGGATGTAAGAATAGGAGATGCTCATTTTAGGGGAGTTAAATGATGCTAATTACACCTATTTGTATAATTGGATACTCATTTATAGGCAGAGCTAAGTTTCAATGTTGATGGAATGCCGTGTTAATGGTGAGAAAACCAGTGAGTCTGCACAGCATGGTGAACTGCCTTGCAGAGATTCCAGTTTGTGTCCCTGAAGAACTGTAGCCACAGCAGCATGACCATTTGCCTCAGTTAATTATCACTTGCTTCCCAGAAGTCCTACAAAGCCAAAGGACAATGTTACATCTATCCTACTGATAGCTCCTCAGCTTGCATGAGTGTCATGCACGGTAATTATCTGTGCAGTGTCCATGGCCTATTATTTCTGATTCAGGCCTTGCTACCTTTTCAATTCCCAGCAGAGTTATTGAATTCCCATTGTATTAGGTGTGTGCTGGCTGCCTTTGACTGATTCCTCTTAGCACATGTCATAATTGCTTTAGATACATCTTTTAAAATCAATTAACTATGGATTTAGGATAGAGCCAGTATGTGTCACTTTAGAAATCTTGCATATCTCTGTATGAGCTGGAGGTTAATCATGCCAGAAAACAAAATAAAACAAAAAAAAACCAAAAAGCCACTGCAGGGAACACCAAAAGTCCTGACAACACCACAACTCAAAGTAATCAGCAGAATTAGAAAAGAAAGCGAATAAAACAAAACAACAACAAAATAACCCAAACAACAAAAAACCCCACCCCGAACAAACAAAAAAGCTGTCTAGGGAAAACTGGGGATCTGCAAAGTATGGGAATTCGTCTCTACTTTCCATTTAGGCCTGACAATACCATTGACTTTGATTCAGTGCATTAAGAGAGGATTCTCTTTGTCTGTTTCAGCTTGAAGAGCAAATACTGGGTCAATGAGCAAAGGTAAGAAACCAATTTGCAGATTATGGTGGTAAATAAAGGAACAATGAATTTCTGTTTATCTATAGAGCCTCACAATGTTTCTCTGAATTGACAAGGGGAATTGCGGCAGATACTATAGAACAAAGAGGTGGCTTCAGTGGGAAATAGGTTGGGGCTCAACAAGGGTTTTGTAAAGAAAAGGGGTTATATTTGTTTGGACTGCCCCCACAAGGGTGAAGGCCAGAGGCACACAATGGATCTATCACAGTTTTATTATCTAGAAGAGTCAAACTAATGGGATCTGAGTGATGGAAAGTTACAATACAATAGTTCACTCCATTGTGATAGTGCTCTGACACAGCTCTTTCAAACTGCGGCAGAAAAGTATGAACCCTTCAAAAAAAAGACCTGGGCAAGGTGAAACCTGGACACCAGCTCATCAAATACAGAAGTAACAACCACAACTCCTCATCCCCGCTCTAAACATGTGCAGTAGTTAAAAAACAGATTCCACTAGTGCTCCATGCTTACATAGAGGCATCAGCTAACCCCAGTGTGATGTCTACTCTGCAGATACTAAGCTTAGAAAGATGACTGATTAGCCTGAAGAACATACTTACTTAGTTTTTCATCAGCAGTAGGAATTCACTTCAAAGGTAGTAGCTGGATGGCTGGCTTCCTTCATGGAATATCTGCTTGTTCCTGTGCAAACATTGCTTTCTATGGGATTATACTTTGGTTCATCTCATGCAATAGTATTTATCATTATGGAGTATTGGCTGGCACCAGCATTGGTGAATACCTGCTCCTCTCAGGGCAACTGAAATTTGAACTAAGGTCCATGCTGTCCTCGGTCCTCCATGCTGTTCAAACAGTTATATGTCAGCTATCTTGATTTAAAGATTTTGCATTGCAGAAATAACTGTTTTCTCCAAATCTTCTATCTAAATAATAATTTTCTCAGGATCCTGGTATGAACCCCTCAGAAACTGATAGAACTTCTATTATTTGTAACCCCTATGAAGACCTAATACAACTTGTTAAAAAAAGAATGGAGATTGTTATACATTAGTTAAATGATGTATAGAAATCAAACTTACATTAAGTGGATTTTTAGTATTTCCATCAATGTACAGAGTTTTGGGTCTGTACTACAAGTGACTGATGATACTGTTCTCTTTGTTAGATATGGAGGAATTTCTATAGGAGGAAGGCTCCCAGTCCTTCATGTTTCTGGAGATCAAGTTGTCAATTTTTTAAGTGATCTTGGCCGAATGATGAATGTGACAGGAGTAAGCAAGATTTTTATGATTTTTTTGTCCCTTTACTAAACAATTGTTATGAAGCTGAAAACATGCAGTATCAGATTTCATCCAGACAGATGATCTTTAGCCTTTTCTTTTTTATTTTAGGGACAAAGTTCACTGGCTGCTGCTAAAGAAATTTCTAATTTTCTTAAATACATGGAAACTGAAGATAATATTAAGGTATTTGCTGGAAGTAGTCTGCTAACTCACAGTCTTTCTTGACACAGACTTCAAATTGTGAGAATATTTCTAGTGGCATTCTCGGATCAAGAAGACCTGAAATACTATACTTATAATAACTAATATGGGATACAGTGTTAATGCAGAGTTATTTTTAATGTGAGATTTTTTTTAACCATGTTCTTAGTACTTCTTGCTGTCCTAAATACTTCTGAGTAGGACACATTCTGCTAAATTTTAAAACGTGCTTCTATAAAATCCCTTGACAGTGGTTGTCCAACCCTTTTAAAGGCATAGTATGTGAGCTCCTCCTGCTGGACTGTGCCTAGGAGCAATGAATCCCTGGTGCTGGATTCTTCGCTGCTGACAATGCCCCCCAAAGTAGATAAAAGGCAGCTACGTTTTCTCTTACAACTCAGAGTTATTAGTGAAAGCTTCTTAAATGAATCTGTGCTTTCTGACTCTTTTAGGTGTGGTTTAACAATAAAGGCTGGCATGCTATGGTTAGTTTCCTTAATGTAGCCAATAATGCAATCCTTAGAGCTAACCTGCGGACTGGCCAAGCTGCTGAGGAATATGGGATCACTGCTATAAACCATCCTCTGAATCTCACTAAGGAGCAACTCTCTGAAGTCACTGTGTAAGTCTGCCTGTGCTCTGCTGCTAGCTTTTACCCCTCCCTATCCTGGCAGCATACCACCTCCAGCGTACTCACACTCTGAGGAGAAATACTTCAATTGACAGAATGTTAAGACCTTTTCCTGAAGTTTTGTTCTAATCAAGAATTAGATATACAATCTATTCTTTTCTGTCTCATTATATTCGTATAAGAATTCATTCCCATCCTGTGTAGGAGCTATGGCTATTGGTTGTACATGATTGCCTGTTTCTGCTGATTCCCAGGCACAAAGATTCTGAAGTATTTGTTCATGCTCCAAGGCCAATAGATCTAGTTGTGAAATAACACAGATATCATAATCAAAAAAGGAATTGGAAATTGTCCTTAATTGACTACAAGTAGGCAGTAGTTGACAACCTCCATCTTGGTGCCAAGGAGAGCACACAGGTAGATTTTCAATGGCACGTAGTAGTGTTGGTGTACTGCAGAATCTAAAAGCCATAATTTCCTGAAAAAAGACACCCCTAAGAAGGTATGACTTCCCACTCATGTCTCCTATTAAGTTCAGAAGTCAGTGGAACTGAAAACTTCTGCCTTAGCACAGAGACATGATCTGCTCTTCATCTCGCTGTCTACACCTTGCCTCTTTGAGTCCCTCTTTTCCCAGCTCCCAGAGCACTTCGACTGTTGTGCCTTAATGTCTAGTTTGAGACACACCATACAGGAAAGGCTGTCAAACTGAGAGATATATATAGGAGTTTAACTGTTCCAGAGAATGAAAGCAAGTAAAAAATCAGGCAGTGGTGCCACCAACATCCATATTTGTTAGCTACAGTCCGCAACACTACTTGGGGAAAATAAACTGGCACATTTTGAAATTGGAGAAGTCTTCTACTTACAGAATAACCTTACTACTTCTAGATCTTAAAATTCCCTTCAGATTCCCCAAATGCTAATATAGCGTTGTATTGAGTCCATTCCTTTGCTCACAGTCTGTTCTTGTGCTCTGTTTTAGGTTGACCACTTCAGTGGATGCTGTTGTTGCTATCTGTGTCATTTTTGCTATGTCCTTCATACCAGCTAGTTTTGTTTTATACCTTATTCAAGAACGTGTAACAAAAGCCAAGCATCTACAGTTTGTCAGTGGTGTGAGCCCTGTGACCTACTGGCTAACCAACTTCATGTGGGACATAGTGAGTAACTGCTGTTATTTCATGGCCTGCAATAATTCCTGGGTTTGCATGAACTGGGGACTAATCTGTGAATTGAGGGAAGTTGATTCTGAGCATTGCAAAGAATTCATTTTTTTAAGTGTTTCTCAGAGAGCACGCTAAGGATCTGACCTCCTAACTACAGATGTAGAAATTGTAAAGTGCACAGCTCATTATTCAACTAATGAAGCTGAACTTACTGTAATCTTAGGGTTTCTAGTCCTTACAACTAAAAGTATAATAAAGTACAACTTACCATAGCAGGGGAAAGACCAGTTGCCTGATGCTAGTCACTCCTGCCCTCTAGAAGAACCATAACGTGTTTCAAGATATTCAAGAAATCTAAGTGGGAGATTCACAGGCTGCTAGAACAGTAGCTAGAGGCCAGACAAAATACTCCAGAGTGTCTAAGATGACATAGATGTATTTGTTTAGATCACTGAATCATCTTCACTGTGTTGTTCCAAAAGGATTTAGACCACAGGCCCAGACTTGCTTAGACAGGGCTCTCTTTACCCCGCAGGCCACTTTGTCACAAATGAGCAAATTCTTTGCCTGCACAGCAAGGGGTTTGTTTTCTAGACATGCTTTCTCAGCAAGGAGTGGCCAAGGGCTTATGCAATAAGAAAAGCATGAACATGGAATTGAAAAATTAAAAAGAAAAAAAAAACTTGAAATAATTGAAAAGCCCAAAGCTCTAGAAGCTTTGGAAGGTGCTCTTTCAGGAGAAGGTAAAGCAAGCAGTAATTTAGTAAATGCAGGAAAAGAAGTAGGTCTCTGGGTTCTTGTTTCCTGCTGGTCACAGCAGCCTCCCAGCAGCTTCCTCGAGAGGAATTATGCTTGGCTGTGGCCCTTGACAGCATGATGCAAAGGTATTAATTGGTGTTAGCAGTTCTGTGAAGCTCCACCTTCCATTCTGCATGGGAGCTCTGTGCATTGCAGTAGATTAGCGCTACTAATACTGAGCAGTGAAATTGAGAAGAGCAGTGGCCAAGCATACTCACTTTATCTGCCTCCCAGGAATGTGGCTCAAGTAACCAGCTATTTCCCTCCTACATAGCCTTTACATCACCAGAAATTGCACTTCCCTTGTATACACACGGCCTCTTTCTGTGGGCAGCCTGCCAGCACGACCATGAAATAATTGGCTCCCAAACCATAATCTAAGAAAGAACGATGTATGTTGTATTTTTGATGAACAGTCTGATAAGAGATGTCTCAGAAAAATGTCAAGTGCTACCAGAGACCCATTTGATCCAAAAGCTTGAGTGTGACTAGTCTAGCTCATAAATTCCGGTGTTCCATAATACAAAATCCTTTTGGAATAATGTGTAGGATCTGGATATGTTTGCAGACCTTCTCAGGTCTTACACACTGATCTTCACCCTGTGATGTGGCAGGCGAATTATGCACTGAGTGCTGGAATGGTTGTGGTTATATTCGCTGGATTCAACAAGAAAGCATACACTTCTCCGACTAATCTCCCTGTGCTTGTTGCCTTGCTGCTTCTGTATGGGTGAGTGTTCAAGGTTGTTCCTGCATGTGGGGCCCTGTATTTCCCATGGAAATGATTTCATGTTATTGAGCTTGGTACTTAGTGAAATCCAGCTTTACAGAATAAAACTGAGTGGGTACAATGCAGGTTAGAATGGGATTCTCTCCCTGCTCCGGGATATTTACACACTCCGTCTGGCCACATGCTGTAAAGGAGATTTTTTTTTTGTCAGTGCCTTACATTTTTAAGCATTAAATGTGATCCTTACAGGAAAATTTGTTCAGTTTGCTGCTTTTTGATATGTACCTTGTGTAGGAATTTGGTGGCTGTTCATTTGCCTCATTGACAGCCAATATTAAAATAACTTTCAGCATTTAACCCAAGGGCAAAGAGTACTGAGTCTTCGACACTTCAAATGAGTATTTGTGTTGGCAAAATAGCATTTTATAAGGCTGACTGAAATTCACTTTCTCTCATTTAATTAGTGATCATATTTTTTTATCTATAAAATCATATTCCTGGTAGCCATGAAGCTGATGTAGTCTAGGCAAAATGATTGACCAGATCTATTTCTACAGTTAAAGGAAAAAACTCAGCTTTCATGTTCATTGAATGAAAATCCTGAGAAAATGCAAAGCATGATCCTCATTTAATCTCTGTAAAATACCCAATGTTAAAAAAATGCTGTCAGAATGTTAATTTGTTTTAATTTTCATAATATCTTTTTAAAGTGCAACAGTATTATCTTTAATGAGTTGTCTGTGGCTCTACATATTTTTTTAAATACAGTAATTCACAGCTGGGTGAATGGGCATTTAAAATGGCTTTGCGTATTTTAAAGCACCTATCAAGATGAAATTTTCAGAAAAAAATATAATCACATGGCATTCACTTCAATAATAATTTCATAATTTGATACTCAAAATAAAAAGCAGAAAGGAAGGTAAATTCATAGAGTCATATATTAGCCCTTGAGTCCAGCTGCAGTCATAACAGGAAACTTAGGATGATTCGGACCACGTGTGTATTGTCCTGTTAAGCAATTCAGGTTGTTATTACTGAATTCTTCCTAGTCACACTGACCGTTGCTAAGCATTGTAAGTTTATTCTAGAGGAATACTACTTTTGTGCTGCTGCATGTGCATTAGCTATGTCCCAGAAATTGTGGCACAGGAAGCTCCAAATCAGGAGTTAAAAAACAATGGTAGAAGATTCAGAAAACGATATCAAAATTTACAGAGTTTCTGATTTCTTTGGACAGTTTTGAAAGCTGAGGAGTATCTAGCAAAGCAGTACATTGTATTTGCTTTATCTAACACTTCTTTGTTTCTCCCTCCTAGTGTACAATCCAGTAAGATGTGCAAGGACACCTGGGGTGATAACAACCCTGCTAGCATTAAGTTTTCTCAGTTGTAGCAGTTTCTATGGCCCTGCATTTTAACAGCAAAAAAAAAAAAAAAAAAAGACTAAGCAGAAAAAGCTTTTTATCTAGTAACCAGGAAAAGAATGCTGTAGTAGCATCTCTGGTTACTTACACCATTTCATTATACTTAGGATGAGAAGAAAGCTGAACTTTGTGTTTTCATTAGAACAACTGACATGAGAATACTGAGAATCTGTTATCATAGTTTTTCTATCTTTTGCATGCAGATGGGCAATAATTCCCATGATGTACCCTGCTGCTTCTTTCTTCAGTGTCCCTAGCACTGCTTATGTTGCATTGTCTTGTATTAATCTCTTTGTGGGGATCAACAGCAGTGCCATTACATTCATCCTGGAGTTATTTGAAAATAACCCGGTAAGTAATGTCTTTGTTGACACCTGCTTTTGAAGAGCTGTGCAAAGGGTGCCCAAGCATAACCATCTCTAACAGTAACTGTCTTTCTCTACCTCGCCATTTTTTCTGACAGTACATAAATGGGGAATTTGCCAAGTAACTGCAGGGACAGGTGAGCAGAATAAGCCAGAGAAGCAAGGGCAATTGATTTCTTGGGCTACACACACAAGGAATGACATTGAGTGGTTTTTATCCCTATGAGCAAACTTCTTTCACAGTTGAAGAGGAGGGGACATGGCACTTTGTGCTTGCTTCTGCAGCTTGGATTGTACACGAAGAGGTAGATGGTAGAAAATCAGCGTCACCACTAAGTAAGGGAAGACACCTACTCCTGCTAGTCATTGTGTTAAAGGAGATGTTCTGCTTATAACAGCATTTTGAGAATTTCCCAAAAATGGTTTAACAGCACCAGGAAAGTGACAGAAAGTACAAGAATAGACAGAGTAGACAGTGAGTGCCAAAATTAGTTCTTAGAAAGGCTAAGAGATGTTTATAAAACACTGTTGGCTTGTGTGTACTACTACTACCACCTCTACAGCTGCTGATACTCTGGCTGTTGAGACTAACACCCTTTCTACATCTAACAGCAATCCAATTAGCTATCATTACTGATAGTGCGTTTTCAAACACCATGTGCTGATCAAGCATTGTTGTTTGCTGGGAAGGAGGAATAGATCTTGGTTCATTTCATGGTTTCAAGGGCCAACTTTGCAATACCTTACGTCCCTGGTATTCCTACATTCTCAGCCATGCTTCTTGGCAGCACAGGGTTCAATCTAGTGCCATTCAGTCTGTGGAACAGCAGGCCGGTATTGTTATCTTTGAGAATATGTTCCTGTTGTAGATACTGTGTCTCCAGAGGGAAAATTGCCCTTCTCTCAATTCAGTGTTGGTGCAGTTAGACTGCTACTGGCACTTACACTGTTTTGGGTATCTCCACATTGCACCAAAGTCTACTGTGTAGTTATGCCCAGGCAGTAGTACTTTTCGATGTTGTGGCAGTCCTGATTATGGAAACATTCCAGCTATAAAGGTTGATGTTTTAACAGAAAAATACCACTTTTTCTTGTTGCTCACAGTTGGTGTTTTTAATAGCTGACACCAGAATTACATGTTATCTCTGCTACACAGAAAAATACTTCATATACAAAGATTAATTTCTTTGCCCATTGACAGTTTTTCACAAGCACCTTGCCTGGTGCAGTGTATGCCAGCATTCTGCTGTGCTGTGTTCTAGGTTGCAGATGCTTTGGGTGTAACTCAATAAATACTGTTTTCTCTGTTGTAAGAACACAGAACATCCAGTTTCTCTGACATGACAAAGAACTTTTTGCTCATGTTGCTATGTTTTCTTAAAGAAGTCTGGTTTCAACTGCTTGTTATGTTGTTTCTGTTTCTTATAGTCTTTGCTGAAGTTTAATAAAATATTGAAAAACGTGCTGATTGTCTTCCCACATTTTTGCCTGGGCCGTGGACTCATTGACTTGGCCATGAACCAAGCTGTGACTGAAGTATATGCCAGGTTTGGTAAGTAAGAGCCAACAAGCAACAAGTTATATCAGTGGCACATGTCCTGACCTTGGATGAGATGGTTGGAAGTTTTAACTTGGAAAATTAGTGGCTGTTTCTTCCCTTTCACATCGTCAGGTGGATGACGAGTATGAAAGTTCAACCTCTCTGAACAAGATACAGCTACTGATACAGCTGCCAGAACTTTATGGCCCAACCAGTAGCCTGTATTGGAAATGAACCCATTTGTTCAGTGTCAGATTCTGATGTCTTTTTACCATTTGTTCTGAAGTCCTTAGATCATTACAGTAAGATATATTGTTGCATTTCATTTTAATACTTTGGGGGCCCTCATGTTAATGCTTAAGTGGATGCTGTTCTTCAAATATATCCTCTTGTCAAATGGCAGTCTGATATCAGACAACTTCTTATTAAAAGAACAGTCATATAGCAGCACTGATCTGTTTTTATTCAGAAAATGTATGTGTTTCACATAATCCATGCAGATTTCATGGTATGATATCCAAAGTAGTGCATATTCAGAGAGCTTATATTCTTTTTTGCTCCTATGCAGCAGCTGAGGTTGGAGTGTATTTTCTTAAGAATCTTTATAAGACACTGGAAAATGGAAACATTGCCTGATCATGATCAAAAATGAAGTATGGATTTTAATCCTAAACCATTATCATTACACGTTTTGTTCCGAGGAGCAGTGTTTTGTTTCAGCAGTATTTCACCTTGCTTTTCTGGTGCTCTTTCTCCAAAGGTGAGGAGCATGTTTCTGATCCTTTTCAATGGGACTTTGTTGGAAAGAACCTGGTTGCCATGGCTGTTCAAGGGTTTGCATTCTTCGTTCTGAATCTCCTGATGCAACACCGTTTGTTCACCACAAGATGGTATGTCCGGAAGCTTGTATTAATATTCCTTTATTAACAGGGTCGGTGACTTTGTTATTCTCAGTGTCCCCCTTTTTTCTTTTTCTCTGAAGTTTTCATCTTTTTTTTTCTGTTTACTTACCTGTTTTCATCTTAATTTGTTGATATCCTGGTTCAAGAAAGGATTTACAAATGTGCATTATCTTAACAAGATTTAAGAATGTGTTATTAAAGAAACAACTTTTCTCAAATTGAGACTTTAATGTAGGATTTTTTTTTAGATTAACACACTGCAATAGTGAGATTGTAAAACTACTTAGAAAGTTTGTAGTGTCATAAGTACTGGCATGAGGTACTAGCCTGACATTCCAAGACAGGAATTCTAGTCCATTGCACAGGACAGTTGCAGCCTGGACACTATGCAAGCTTCCCTCTCTGCTAGATAACTGTGCCTCTACCTGAATGAAAGCAGCTACGTGCCAGGTGCAAATGGGTCATCCACTCCTGTTCGAGATTGCCAACAAGAGTACTAATTGGTACAATTATGAAAATATTCTCTTATAGGGAGGTTTACCCAAAAGATCTGTAGAAGGACTACCATTAGCTGCAGAGGAGCAGTGAAATAGCAAAAGCTGTGCCTGATGGGAAGGTTATGTCATATCAGTGACTGACAAGCCATGCTCTTTTGAGCAAGCCATTTCCTCCCTTTTTAGTTTTTAGAAATTAACTTTCAAAGGTCAGGGATTCTCCCAACAGCGGGAATGCTCCAGCCAATGTCACAATATGAAGTTACAATCCCACTGCTTCCACCAGTCACATTTTTGGCAATTGATTAACCATTGTTTCACACTGTTATTCTAACTGCACCCAGGGCATCTCATCGTTTCTGCACTCAATCTCTTGGGTTCTTCCAGGTTTGCTGAGAATGCCATGTCACCTATTATTGGTGAAGATGAGGATGTTGCAGAAGAAAGAAAAAGAATTATGAGTGGAGGGAACAAAACACATATCTTAGAATTACAAGAACTGACCAAGGTAATATTTTGAGATGAATGAAATAAATTAGTCTAGCATAAATTTATTCTTTCAGAATGTATTTCAGCTGTGGATTCAGATGGTATTGTTTTCAAAATCAATCTTGTGCCTTAGAAAATAATAAACTTTTTAGAAGTCAAGGCTTGACATATTATTTGGCTATTACATTTGATTAGAAATCAAAGCCTAGGGAAGTCCAGCAAGGACAGTGCCACCCTCCCTGCTTAAGGTTTTGGGGTTTTTTTTACCTCACGTCATCCAACATGACTGTTAAATCTATTGAACGTCCATTTCTACTACTCGTCTTTTCTTCTACAATTCTGTTTTTTCCATAGGTGAGTTTCAATTTCAGGTTAACCATTTGGTTGCTTCGACATTGAGGGCTGTAGTTATTGCTAATTTATCTTCTTTCCAGACATTGAAGGCATCTGAATTATGCTGCCAAAAATGCATGCAAGCTTGAGCTATAGAAATACAAAGATTGCACACGTTGCTGGGACCTCATGAATAGAGAACTGGAGTATCATTCTTGAGACTATCTTGCTGTGTTGTTCCACTTTGGTTAGATATGTCAGAGATACTTTGTCCCATCAGGTCTGTCTCCTAGTGCTAAAGATATGAAGTAAAATGCTGTATGTGGAAAAAATGGTATTTTTAGGGGTCACTACAAATTTATTTAATATAACTAAATGTCTGACTTTGTAGAATGCTTACTCTTTCTTTTTAATTTTGTCTTGGTTCTAAAGTTGCCTCATCCCAATAGCATTAAGCTTAAAAATTCAGAAGACTTCCTTTGCTGTAGACGTCTTGAAATAAGATATTTTTTTTCTGTCAATTTAGATTTATGCAGGTAGGCACAAGCCTGCAGTGGACAGACTCTGTGTTGGCATCCGTCCCGGAGAGGTAGGTGGTTCAATAACACTAGATTGCATTCCATGGATCAGTTCAGATTTCATGCCCCTGCTGATTTGCAAGTTGGAAATACTAACGAATGTGATACATTTTGTTATTTAGTGCTTTGGTCTTTTGGGAGTGAATGGCGCTGGCAAAACAACAACATTCAAAATGCTGACTGGAGACACTGACGTGACATCTGGAGATGCTGTAGTGGCTGGCAATAGGTAAATACCTTAAAAAAACCAACCCTGTGACAGTCCATTTATCGGGGTAGAACTGCGCAGATTATATTCTGAATGACCCAGCAGCTCTTCTCCAGTTTTAGGGCACTGAGAGACACCACAGCTAACACACACTGGCATTTGGTACTTTTAACACTCAGTTGTAAAATCTGTGGGTAAGTTACAGTAACGCTAACAGTGGGACAAGGCAATCGGGTCTACTGACAAGAGCTTGAAGACATAAGATAAACATACAAATACTTAGAGGGAGGGTGCCAGGGGGATGGGAACAGTCTTTTTTCAGTGGTCCCCAGTGATAGGATGAGGGGTAACAGACACAAATTTGGATATAGGAAGTTCCATCTTAACATGAGAAGGAATTTCTTTACTTTGAGGGTAGTGGAGCACTGGAACAGGCTGCCCAGAGACGTTGTGGAGTCTCCCACTCTGGAGACATTCAAAACCCGCCTTGATGCCGTCCTGTGCAACCTGCTGTAGGGGACCCTGCTCTGACAGGGGGGTTGGACTAGATGATCTCCAGAGGTCCCTTCCAACCCTGACCATTCTGTGATTCTGTGTGATTCTGTGATAAGCAGTCCAACAGGGTACTTTGATCTGAGCTTTGGGACTTTTCTCTGGGTGTTTCTAGCATCTTTGTTTACACAGTGCTGGCATAACGTCATAAATTAATACAGCGTGATCTGGTACGTTAGTTTAATTCCAGGCTGTGTGTCTTCCTTTGTTGGGTGTAGTTGGGATTTCATTCTTTGTCCATTGATGTGATTTGAACAATAGCTATTTTGTTGCAAGGATATGGTCCGGGGCAACCTGCTGTAGGTGACCCTGACTGAACAGGGTAGGTGGACAAGATGACCTCCAGAAGCCTCTTCCAACCTCCACCGTTCTGTGATTCTATACTCCTACTGTTACTACCAACAAAGTATTAGCCTTGTGTCTTGCCTGTCTGTTCCCAGTGACCACACTCTGAGATGAAATTGACTGATTTTTTTTTCCTTCTAGAAATAAACACCATTTGCAAAAAGATATGATCTGAGTGACTGTTCAAAGAATTTCTTGTTAAGTTAGCCTATACTTGAACAGGAAAATGAGTGAGGGGAAATGGGCTTACACTCTTAACCAGGACTGAGCTGACTTAGATGAGTATATATTCTTTGCTCTTCTGTACAGACAGATATTTCAGTAGGATGTTGTATCAGGAAGAATTCATTCTCCTCTTACAAGAGTTGTTGCCCCAGAAAAGAAAGATTTTACTCAAAGTGTCCATCTCTGTCTTAAAGCTAGTACTGTAGACATAAGATTCTGTTCTTTGTTTCTCCAGTATATTGACCCACATTTCTAATGTCCATCAAAACATGGGATACTGCCCTCAGTTTGATGCCATTGATGACCTGCTCACGGGACGAGAACATCTCTACTTATATGCACGCCTGCGGGGAGTTCCAGCAGAGGAAATCAAGAGGGTAAAGCAATCTTGCTTTTGACCTATACATAGTTACAGTGAATATTTGTGATGATTAATTGGGTTCATAAAAGGCCAAGGGCCAGAATTTCCAAAGTGAGGTTACCGTTCTGTGTGTTGTAGTCCTGGGAGTCGTTCCTGTCATTTTGACAGTTAAGTACCAGACTGCACTGTCAACCGGCTTTAACGGTACTTGCAAAACTGTGGCACCAACTGTGGAAGGCTAAAGATCCAATTGCTATCACTCGGAACTGCACTGGTTGATGTTTTGTTCTTGTCTTTAAAGTTGTTTATGTATAAGAAAGAAAACATGAAGAAGATTCCAGAAGAAAATAATTTACATTCTTGCACAGATAGGAAGTCTACAGATGAGGCTGGTTTATGGCTTTCCCTCAAGTAGTTAGAATTACCCTCACCATCATAAAAATTTTTGGACTCCTCTGCTCCGGTTCTAAAATGAATGTGCTAAAACCCAGGGGATTGCCATGTCTCTGCCAGAAGAGGGATGTACCAGCAACCCCATCTGTTATGCATTAGCTGCTGTGTTAAAAACATGGTTGTTTCTCATAGGTTGCTGAATGGGGCATCCAGAAGCTGGGACTTCTTATGTATGCAGACCACCTGGCTGGCACCTACAGTGGTGGCAACAAGCGCAAGCTCTCCACTGCCATTGCACTGATAGGCTGCCCACCACTCGTCTTGCTAGTAAGTGTCATGGTAACATAGCTCTGTGGTAGTTCCATATAACATCTCATAAAACTATACGCTAAAGAGGTACAAGGATGTTTATGACAGTCCTTGCAAGCTCCTTTCTGCCCTCACTGCATTCCCTTCCCTGTAGCTGTGCTGTACACAGACAGCATTATATTCTTACTTGCAGTTTCTTGTACTTGTTTCCTTACTGCTTTGTGCCAATAAGTACATTTCTACCCATTCATTCATATGCTTTTCAAGGTGCACGTGCTTTCTTAAGGCACAGATTTCAGTAGGGAAGCAGCTATATGCTAAGGCCCAAACACACAATTATTTGATTCTAAATAGATTTTCTTATCTACTTCTCTGACTCTGATTGCTTTAATGTTTCCCTTACAGGATGAACCGACTACTGGAATGGACCCTCAGTCGCGCCGCCTCCTGTGGGACTCTATTGTCAGCGTGCTCAGAGATGGGCGAGCTGTGGTTTTAACCTCACACAGGTAAAAGATAGCATTCAGAATCCCAGAGTAGCTGAAGGTCACCTGCTGGCTTTTATCTTAAATATCTGTTCTCTCTTTTGAAAGTATGGAAGAATGTGAAGCCCTCTGTACTCGTTTAGCCATCATGGTAAAAGGTACCTTCAAATGCTTGGGCACAATTCAGCAGCTAAAATACAAGTAAGTAGAATATTTTTATGGTGTTTGTTAATGGGAAAACTTGGTATGTGTGACATGTGCTGTTCTTAATACAGCAATCCAATCTGAAGAGCTGTTGTTTAAACAGACCCATTTCTGAGTGCAACTGTGGTATCCTAGACAATTTGAGCAGACCTCATTTCAACTCCATTATGCTACACAGCACTTCTGCAGGACAAATACAGAACTTCTTACAAAGCTAGATCTTATGCATTATCTTTCAGATACTATTAATATTTTCATAGCTGCTGAAAATTAATTTCCTTCCTGAATAATGAAACCACCTCTTCATCCAATTCCCAAATCCACATGTGCTTCCCAGGTTTGGAGATGGCTACATTGTCACTCTGAAAATCAAAGCTCCAAAGTCTGGGCTGCCTCCAGATCCTACTCCTGCTGAGCAATTCATACGCATGAACTTCCCAGGGAGTTTACAGAGAGAGAAACACTACAACATGCTGCAGTATCAGATTTGCTCCTCCTCTCTGGCTAAGATTTTTCAGTTAATAATCTCCAATAAGGAAAACTTGCATATTGAAGAATATTCTGTGTCTCAAACAACTTTAGATCAGGTGAGTAAAAAATAAAGCATCCAGGAGAGCCTGTCTGGCAAGAATTAGGCAATGCAATGGGGATGTATCCAAACAACTGAAGGACTTAACTGTTCAGAGTAGAGAATTGTCTCACACCTTTTACTCAGGCAAGATTCCCAGACACCTCATCGAGGAGGGTGGATCAGATATGAAATCTGTAACTTAGCTCCCTGTGTAAATAGGTGTCGTTTGAGATCTGGTAAGACAGTATTTCTTAGATGCCAGAATTCACACAACCTATTCCTTCAGGGGGAGCAGTCTGAGCAAGATCAACTATTCAGAATAAGGCGTGCTGGCCTGGGAATAACACTTTATTTTAAATAAGAGATTTGCCCTGTGTTGTGTCAGACATACTGTGATATCTAGTTAAATGTTTATATGTCTCTGTCATGCACTTTTATACAGGAGCAATTAGACACACAAAACCTGAAAGGACCACTGGAACTGTGGGCAACACCCACTTGCTTGATGGTATTAGCCCCATCTGCCTGCTTTCCTAAGTAGCTGGGGGTCCACATGGGCAAAGTTATCTTTGATGGGAATCCTAGAGAGACATTCCAGGCTGCCTTACAGCTTACTAAAATAGTCTTTCTCCTTTTTCCCATCACAACCAAACTCACATTCTGCAAGCCATGCAAACCTTGCTGAACCCATCTCCCGCTTGAGAAAAAATAGGATTTTAGTTGCAAGTAAGTGCATCCAAAGGAAGGAATTTGCAAGGGAGTTTATCAAAATAAAGAAGGAATTAACGATCTCTGCTGATACACAATGTCTCAGTTCAGTTCATGTTTATGGATTCCCCTTTCTGTCTCTTCCCTGCACAGAGGCCAAAAGGATGCAAATGTACAGAGACATTCCACTAACTCGTCTCAGTTGAGGAGATGGTGACATTTTCTGCTTTCCTCACACAGGTTTTTGTGAACTTTGCTAAACAGCAGATGGAGGATGAGGAAATTCCTTTGCATCCCCGTGCAGCTGGAGCCAGCAGAGAAGCAAAGGTGTCCCCTTCTTTGCATCAGCAGGCAGTTGCATAGACCATTTCTACAATCACTAGCGCTTAGACTGAGCACAGTGGAAAGATGTGCCATACCAGAGCAGTAGAAGGGTAAAACAAAGGTTCTCACACTCAGTATTATACTGATTTTTTTGCACCTTTCTAAGCACTGTGCTCACAACAGCAACAGCCCTAGCAACAGCCAACTTCTATTGCTCTACCAGGAACGCTACATGCTGGAAGCGTCAAAGGAAAGGCAGGTCCTTGCTATACGACAAAATCTTCCTCTAACATAAAGTTCATTATAAGATACAAGAAGAGCAGTCTCATTCCTCCTTATTGACATGTAAAGAGCATTAAAGAAGGTTTCTCTATGTGGACCTTTCAGGCTGGTAGGTTTTTCTTGCTTAACTCTTAAGTCAACTGCTACCAGTGAGCAGACAGGCCTCAAGGCAGAGAGCACTGCCCAGCTTAAAGTGGATTCCTGCCATCCTGAGCGCACCAAGGTCAGAACATCAGTGCTGGCTGATGGTGCTAGTGCTGGGAGACTGCTTCACTGTCTCACCAGGCTGCCAGTGAAAACACAGTTGTCTCGACAAGAATGGGAAGAATTAATTCAGATCTCAGACCCAAGCAAGAAATTTGCCTAAAAAAAAAAAAAACAAACAAAAACCAAAAACTTAATGAAAATTATCTCATACTCATACCACATATGTGGAGCTTAGGGACATGATTTAGCGGTGGTTTTGGCAGTGTCAGGTTGATGGTTGAACCTGATGATCGTAAAGGTCCCTTCCAACCTAGATGATTCTATGATTCATCTTCAAGTTTCTTAAATAGAAGCAGAATGTCAAAATGGAGATTAAAAGGAAAGAGTATGTCCAAATCTGCCAAACATTTTGTCTTCTCATGGAGGCCTGGAAAGATATCTTTGTTACTAAACAAGATCAATTTTTTCTTCTTTCCTGTGACTGGACCTTAAGTGGGTGTAAAGTGTGAATAGGGTATATGCTTCCTCTGTGCTCATAAGGAAAATTTCAACCTGCTTGTACTCCACGCTGCACTCAGTGGGAAATCATTTGACATTTAGCTCTTTTTGCTGGTTCACAGTTAAACTACTGGAACGCAACGATTCTGAAAACAAATTCATAATGATATACTGCTTCATTTATCTACCAGATCTAACCATTTCTAAGAAATTTTCTCTAAGCTATGTTACACAAATAAAATCTGGGTCATGTATTTTTGCTTTGTTAGGTTTTTTTCTTCAATTGATGTAGATTATTTTTTTATATAAGGACATTCTTGCTTTTTACTGTACAAAATATTACAAAACTTCAGCAACCAGCTGTAGTCTTCTTCTTTTGTCATAATTATTTCAACTGATTTCAAAATATAGTGTAGAATTTATTGCATATTTCACCCTTACAAATAGTTGCAAAAATCTTTCTATACATCCATTATAGATAAATAAATTAATCATGAAACAAAACAGTATCTACGCATTCTCTTCATATTCTAAAATAGCTTCTTTAAAATGTCATTCGCTAGATTGCAATAGTCTTTTTTTACTAGATTTGCACAAAACCCAACTAAGTCCCACTGAACATCTTGTGAAAAAGAAAACACAGGAAGTCCAAAATGTAGCTGATTTTTCTCCCTGTCTCTGAAAACAGGAAGGGAGCTACCATTCTGAGGACTAGCAGTCACTTCATGTATTTACAAAGTGTTTTAAAAACTGTTCAGAGAACACTGACATAAAATGCTAGGTAAAAGGTCCTTTAGTATCATACAGATTTGTTATATGAAAACAGGCCACTAGCACAGATATAGCATAGATCAGATCTTCTGAACCTTATCCACTAGTATGTAACTTACTAATGAAGAAGACTAAAATGAAACAAAAAAAATATTTACTAGTATGTAACTTACTAATGAAGAAGACTAAAAAGAAATAAACAAAAAAACGTAGGAAGTTACACCCACAAATACTACAAATACTTCTTATTTCATATTCATTTGGCAAATGAGGGGTTAGACCCAAATCCGGTATTTGAGTTATTGCCTATTTCTTTATTCCAGGAACCATTCATATTCTTTGGTAATGTTATTTGTTACAAAGCACCTGCCTCCAGGCAGCACACTCTCTTTTTCAAGTCAAAGGCAGCAGATCATGCAACCATCTTCAGGCCAGCTGGCCGCGCTGGCTGAGCTGAGCTCTCTAGTAGTTAGCTGCTATGTCCTCGTTCCAATGTACTTATGTCTTGCAGAATGCCACTGCTAAATTTGGAGCTGCTTTTCAGCACAGACTTCTCAGTGTCTCTGATCCATCAATCTAAATAGACTAGTACAGGAAAATCTAAGTCAATCAGGTTACAGTGAACTGTAGGGGCTTTTCACTACCAGCTGTGCAATGAAGCCTTAATTTTTGAAGGTGTTTCTGAGCTGAGAATTCTTGAGTGTAAGGAAGTGTAGCTTTCAAGTGCATACAATTTCCTTCAGCAGCAGAGATTCAACATGCACCAAAATCCTTTAAATTAATTCACTTATTTGGCAGGAGGCTCATGAGCTTTTTCTTCTTGAAGTTCTGTGCAATATTCAAATTAAACCTTTTTTCTTACAACAAGAAGGGAATAATTGGCATTCGAAGACTTGGATAATCCTTGAATTCTCGTAGGTAGGTGCAGTGTTTATCCTTTGCCCAGATTGTCATCTGAATGAAGCAAAGCAAGGTGAACAGCCCCACTGGAAGGAAGGGAGAAAAAGATACTTTTCATTATCAGATTAAAAACACACTCTTGTTGCTGACATGACTTCAGGGTGAAGTACCAAAACATTACTCACCTGGAACACACTGAGTCATGATAGTGAAACTGATCCAGGTCCCCACCTGTTTTGGCCAAGGAAATTTAAAATATTTCTGGTGACAGCATTTGCATTTATGTCTCTATTGATCAAAAACAACCTTGTCCTAGTATAGGTAAATAAAAAAGCCAAGGTCAGCCAGATCAATTTCTAGTGTTAATAACCTTTAACCAAAAAACGTGAACAGTGCCTTATTATCACAAACAAAACCTTCATGTTTGCTTCCATGGCTATTATCATGATAAAATTTTAAGCATTACAACATAGTGTCCTTTCTATTTCTCTGCCTAATTTGTATTTGTCATGCCTCCATCAGCGCTAGGAATGGTAACTTTCCATAGTCAGAGGCCAAATGTTGTTCTCATTAACATCTGCTAATCTGCACTGAAGTTAAAACCTGATGCTGTCCTTCTGTGTCAAAGGTGAATTTTACAGAGTTGCACTGGTTTTAACTGCTTTTGAACTGAGTCAGGAGCTTGGCTCCTGGTTAAGGAACATGAAGCAATAAACTGATTCAAGCTTCTAAAGCAGTCACCAGCAACACAAGCAACTGTGTAACTTAAGAAAATGGGGAAGACACCTGGTCCTGTTTCCTTTTTCCTCTACCACAGTGTCTTCTATTCATTTATTTCCCTGTTTTCTCTACCACAATATCTTCTATTTGTTTATCTTCCTGCGTACTGTGATATTCCTGGGCTCTCTATATTATAAATCCACCAGATGCCCCCATCCCCTCATTGCAATACACATTCAGTGGTGATCTCCCTATTCCTGTCTGCAAAATTTGCACTGCTTGAAAGTGTATCTGTCCTGTCCAGCAGCTACACGGAAGCATAGGCCTGGGGTCTGGGCTGTCTGTTTAAGTTTAGCCCTGTAGGTACTGCCTCAAGGGAGGAGAGGAATAACAGACAAGTTCCTGTTTGCAACCTGATTTCATGGGGTTTAGGGGAGGAGGGGAAACGTATTGAGCTGAACTGTTTCAGAAGTTTCTTCTATGTTTAACATTCCCAAAGAAATGAAAATATATCCAGCAAAACTAAAACCCGAACATCTTGTTTGAAAATACATACCTCATATGTATAGTTAGGGCAAGATACAAAGAAAAACAGCCATGTGAAAGGATTCTTTGTTGGATATGGGATCTTACGGGTTTTGGATCCTATAGATTAGAAAACAAATCACAAAATATTCATATTCCTAAATATATTGTTTCCTACAAGGACAATCCAACTCTCCCTACTCCTGTGTCTCACCACTCTCAGAAGGACAAGCAGGATATGGGAAAACAGGGTGATCTTTGGACCCACAAGAAGGAATAGGATAACTGAGGAAATGTTCTGGGCATTAGAAAGTCATCTACATATGCTTTTGATCACAGTCATTCCTGTAAGAAGAGGTACCTCAAGTTTTAGATTTAGAAGTTAAAGGTTTTCTCAGACTGTCACAGAATGGGATTTTAGCAGTCATAGTTGATAGCTGTAAGATGTTTGACTCGTGCCCAAGGAACCCTGGCCTGCGCAGAGACCTTATGCCCCCTGCAGAAGCCAGTGAAATTACTTTCCCTTGCTCACCAAAGCATAGTTTATACTAGGACTGTTTCCTTTTGCATTACCAGTGTAACTAATATAACTGCTCCCCCCAACACAACCTAGCCCCAACCAATAAAAATTACAGTAAGATAAGAAGTGCTGGTCAACAGTCACAGTCTGGTGTTGGATTCCTTGCACTGCCTGATCTCCCCTGGAATCCACTCTTTACAGTGCTGAGCAACCTGTGCCCCCACAGCAGCCAGCTGGTGGGTATCAACGCCCTCCAGGATCAGATCTTTCATGAGGTAGAGGAACTGTAGAAGTACTGAATGTCTGCACAAAAGTGAACAGCAATAATGCAATTTTTACCATTTCTCCGGAGGTCACTGAGTGCAACATGAATGGAAAAATTTCCAGCTTCGCACAGCTGCAAGAAAAAGCATGACAGAGTTAAAAATCTGCTTCCCTTCTATTTATTCCTCTTCCTTTTGTTATCTCCTGGGCGACTTAAGAAAAAAAAGAAAAAGAATCTATTATAAACGTAATAAATATCCTCAACCAAGATTGCTGTCTGACAGGAGGATGGAATGTCTTTGTTCAAACACGAGTCCTTATTATACTCTGTTATATATTTGTGATATTTGCAAGCAAACGCAGACTCAGTGTCCAAAAGATCAAATTTACTACTTATATAATCCCCATGAGATCTAAAGGCAATAAACCAAAGGGGATAAAAGTAAACCCAGGAGATACTTGCTTTATCTTTTGGTTATTCTTATGTCTTTAAAAACACACCAAAAAAATGATTTGGTTGGGTTTGGTTTCTCAAAAATCATTGAAATCTCAAGGAAGATACAGGTTGGATTCTAAGTAAAGTTTTCTTCTCTAGAGTATAATTGATATGAATCCGGAAATATAATTGACCCAGTTTCCTCCACTGGTTTTAAATAATGCTTCCTTAATCAATTATGCAGAAAGTGTATTGAAATGACCCATTTATATGATTATGGACAGCTTCCAGTGTCTGCAAATCATAGCTATTAAAGCAAATGACAGGTGGTCAGAGCTCCTGAGTTTTATTCGCAGCTCTGTTTTCACTTCCGTAGTCTTTCTACAAAATGGGAATAGATTATGAACTCTCAGAATTTTTCATACTGGGAAGCTGCTTTGAGAAGTGAGCAGCTGATGTTCTAAACAAGTTACGCATACATAGGAAAAATGGGTACATCTTTGTTGGCTACGCTAACATTGCTTCTGCATGTATGAAATGTTCCTAGGAACTGTGAGAATGAACAGACAGTGACTTAAGAATTTTACTTCATAAAGAAAGCTGTAAAAAAAATCTGAAGCCCAGCAAAATGAACCTCTATCCCTGGAAATTACCAGCAATATACTTTCTTAGTTGGCCAGTTCTTTGAGTTTTATGACCTGTTGTGATTCTTAACACTCAATAAACAGTTCACGGAAAAGACTCACTGGCTTTTAAACAGTGGTAGTTCCAGAATTCTTTTGAAGATTATGAGAGATCATCCCAGCAGATAAATATCACAGTCTTGGAATGGATACTGAATCAAAATCTTCCCTTGTGTGCAAAATCACATTAAGAACTGACAGTTTTATCTGTTCTGCATGCAAGTGTACAGCTTTAGTAGTATGTCCCAAGTGTTCAGGTATCTGCTCATCCTACTTACTCCTCCACTTATACAACATAAGAAATAAAGCAACAAGTTTTAGCATTTTATAAAAAGAGCAAGAAACCTACCAGAAACATGATCACAGCAAAATTTATCTGTTTTTTCCCATAAGCTATATTAAAAAAAAAAAGTTTACATGTGATTAGTACTAATATACAAACATATACGTACTCAAATCACATTGAGGGCTGTTTTGCTACTTACAAGGAGGAGTGTAAAGAGGATGATTGATGTAATAAGCAAGCCAAGCTGCAAATCCCCAGTAATACAAGCAGTTCTGAAAAACAGGGAATTTTTCTTTGTTTTAGTACAATCCTCTAGGCCAGTATTCACTGCAAGGACCACTGATAATGAATTGGGCTGATCCTTCAAGTTGCCGATAGTACAACAAAAAATGACAATACTAAGTGTGGTAAGGTGGGAGCAGACAACAAGAAATAAGAGGAAGGAAGTGGAGCTCATAGAGTAAGATTTCATCTCAAATATCTTGAAGCTGTTAAGTTTATGAACAGTTTTATAAAGTATGATCGTACTATTGAAAACAAATTTATCTTGTCTGGCAAGCCATTTGGCCAAATATGAAGTGCCATACAGACTGTATGTTAAAGAGAGACTTGTTTTGCTAACCCCTGAGACTTTGTAAAACCAGATTTAGGCACTGTGCTCTCCTCCCTGCTTATTACTTTGTATTGCCCAATGTCTCGCCTTTCCTCTTCTCCTTCACCCCGTCAGTTTTCTTTCTTTCCCATGCTTTATCTTTTCCTACCTGAAGTCATCATGCCTGACACTTTCCTCTGCCCTTTCACTGTGATATCTTTAGTTTGTCCCTTTTGCTGCTGTCCTTCACTTTCTGTGATCCAGCTTCCATTCTTTAAACTCTGATAACATAGCTGTCGCTATTGGCTGTATTGACTCATTCCTGACCAATATCAGAGCTCGTTCACAGGCTTCATCCATGAAAAAAACTACTTACAATAACAATCTCTACCTCTTATTTGGTTGTCCTGGCCCTGCCTCTTGTGGTTTTTCTTCTGTCATTCATTGCTGCTTCAGTACCTTGGTACAGGTTATCTTCTCCCTCCTTATATATCTGTAGGTAGGAGGGAGGCCCTTTCTTGGCTCATTCCTCTTCTTCCTCTATGCTGTCACCTCTAGGTGCCACTCTCTTGCAGATAGACTTTAACCCTTGTCAACAACTAATAAATTTGCTTCTCATCAGTTGAGATTTCTTCCTTTATCAAACCCAGTGCCTCAGTTTTTAATGTCTTAAGGCATGTTTTGTTATCACCTGGACTTCAGCAAGACCAAAACCAAGCTCTTTATCTTCCTTTCACCACTTCTCCTGTTCTTTTCCTTCCCCTTATCTTCCCTCCTGTTTTCACTCGAGTAAAACATTGATCCTCTTACTCTTTCTGGTGATCCTTTTTTCTTGGCCTTCCAATAGGCTTGTGTACCTTAGACATTTCTAGGTCTTTCTGCTTTCTCCTTCACAGCTTTGCTTTCCTGCTCACGCAGCCAAAATTCTTATCCAAGCCTGCATTCTTTCCTGCCCTGACTGGTTTAACTTTTTTTTGGCTTTGAATTTTGCAGCCAGAACTGCATTTCTAGCAATAATACCTCAAAAAGTGATTACCTCAGCGTCTGCAACCCACACTAGCTGACTGCAGTGTCTGATGGTGCGTTTTTCTGAAAATGCTGGTGAGACGTAAGCCCCTCCATCTGCTGCAAACAGTTGTATCAAACATTCTGTTGCATTTCCACTTTCTTTTCTGAGTTAAGTGAACACTGAAGTGCCCAGAGACCTCAGACAAAATGGGCACCCTTTTGGGTATGCTGTAATACAAGCACATAATATGTCCTTGCTCTAAGATTATACATTAATAGATAATGGATGAGAAAGAGCAAATTATTAACCAATAATTACAGATCAGATGGTACAAAAGAACAGAGAGATTAAGCAGCTTCCCTGTGACAACTTCCCTTTTCCCCAGGAAAAGCAGCAGAGTCAGAAGAATGACTTCAGTGAGGAACAATCTAGTTAGTGTCCTATCCATAAACTACTGCTTTCTCCCTAACACTAGCTTCTTCCACCATCACCTACAATTTAATAACTGCTGTACAAACTTAGGTGGAAACAGTTTCTTGTAATCTTGGAATGGCATCTTATGAAAAATCTTTCCCTAACTTCGGGGCTTGGCACAGGATGGATCATATGGCAATAGATTTCAGTAAAGTAAAATTAAATAAATAAATTATTGTGGCTCAGCTACCAACAATACATGCTGTAATTAAACTGAACAAGTACTATTCATCCAAAGAACGTGATTTATTGCAAGAGTATTGCTCAGTCATAAGAAAAGGATCTTTAAGATAAATGGAGCCTGCCACTGCTAAGGTCCTTAGCAGTAACACTACAAATGTCCAGCTGCCACTAGAAGCCTTATTGCTCATACACCTTCAGTGTAGCTCAGATAGGAACAGCAGAGTACATGCAGACTTCATAAACTCACTCAAAAGAAGGAAATTGTTTCTGTGAATCTTTCCTATTCCAGGTGAATAATAAAGCTTTACAACAATCTCATAAAAAGATTTTGTGGGTCAAGTTCAGGTCTTGCAGGGATTGCATAAATAAATTATTCCTAAGTCTACAAAGTTATGGTTAGGATTTTAGTCTTCTCTACTCCAACTGATGATCCCTGTGATGATCAAAACTATTTCTTAATTCCCTGCCTATGTTTATTTATGACCACCATGTAACCTTCTCTTTGTCTCATTATATTGTCTTTTGGTTTAAATGGTATTTCTTTAGGTCTAGTATTTTCTTTCCTTCAGATGTTTTTATAGAACGTGACAATATCCCTTCTTTTTACCCATGACAATGTTCAGTAAGACCAGTCATAAGAATAATCTTTGAGGAATTCCACTGATACCTCCCTATTACTAAAGGACTGACAGATCCTTTTCTGGCACAACTACTATCATCTTTGCTTTAGTTAGTTCCTTTATATTCACAAAATTTTTGTATTAATCCCTATCTTATCCATCCTAATAAGTCCAGTTGTTTAATAAGTCCAGATAAATTAGGTATTCTGCCTTTCCATTGCCTAGAAAAATCACATATCTTAGAAAGAATTATACTATGTTAGTATATAGCATGAATTGCTTTTAGTGAACGCCTGCTGCAGTTTACAGCATCGTTTATTCCTATTTCCATTTGGTAAACAAAGGATGAGAATCACAAATCTCGTCAGTTCCTGTCTCAGATCTCTGCTTATTGAGACTGAAGTGCCTCTTGTTAAAGGTAGCTTTCCATTGCTCTTAGGAAATAAGCTATCTATATCTGCTATGTATGTGATCAAACACTTAAAGTAAGAAGCTTTGACTACCATCTGTATGTGAGAGAAAAAAGGGAAGAGGGTGTGATATTTTTCTCACTGGCACAATTTTGGAGTAACACCACCAAAGTCAATGAAATTATAAAAGCAAATCAAACCAAGCACTGCTAAGCAGGTAGAAGAGAAACAGCAAGCAACTTTACAGATGAAAGCAAGTACCACCGACCTGAAGGTGGAAAAGTAGAAGTGATCAGAATGACTGGCACAAATGTGAACTTTAGCAACAGTTTGTATGGTCTGAAAGGAACGAGTAGTTGTCAGAGATGGCAGTGAGAAAATGAAGATTTATCGCACTGTACAGATTCTTTTTCAAGGTAAAGTCTCGTTTATCTGGTGTTTAGCATGCATTAGCCATTATTGTGTCAAGACTTTTAAGAGATCTGCTAGCCTTTTAACAACCCTGCACTCTTCCACTGCAGAAAACACAGTAAATTGCTAGGGAGGATTCTTTCTGAGGGCCACTGCTCTACTACAGACCCGCCTTCCATTTAGAAAGCATGAAGCTCTTGCCAGAACTGCCAGAGCTGCTGCGCAGCTGTAAAGAGTCAGCCACAAGGTAGAGCTTCAGCTGCTGGGAGTATCACTGCCATAGTGCAAATTCCAAGGGACTGTCTACATACCAAATGGTAAATACCCAAATGCTGATACTATACTCTATGTTTTTCCAGTTGTAGATGATAATCTCCAGTCTTCCTGAGTATAAAGTGCATTTTTGAACACCAGTGTGCACTCTGTTGCAAACATTTGTAAAATAACTACAGCCCATGCATAGCCATGCAGTCCACTGTACTGTTTCGCAGACATCTGGGAAACAGGGGTTCTGCATCTCAGCAGCGCCCCTGTGCCACAGCAGGTAACATTAGGGAGTGCTCCTGCAGGAGAAGAAAATGCAGAACCACCAAGCTGTTTTGCACTAGAGCAAAGGTAAATTAACAGTTGCTTAACAGCAAAGAGAGTGTTAGGGGCAAAGAAGACGTAAAATGACTGTTACAAAAACTACTTTTTTTTTTTTAAAAAAAAAAGCAACCCTCCCAATATGGTGCCTGCCTGTGCTACCTTACAAGTTAACATTGTCACTAAAACCGTGACACCCAAAGTGCTAGCTGAGTGAAAAGGAAGGGTATGCTGAAGGTTTAAAATTCTAAAACAGCAATGAAACTACTATAACATGAATAACAGCATGGCAACATGTGGGTTATACAATAGCGACATTAAGAAATCTTTTGAAAGAACTACAGCTTTATGGGTGAGATTTGCTGCACATTACTACAAAAGCCACATCAAAAATTCTGTGCTGCAGGGGCAGAGCATAGGTTGGCTAGGCTGGATTTGTAAGGGGGGCTATGGATAGATTCTGACACAATTTACCTTCACAATATTCCTCAGTGGCATAGTCCCATGGGAGAACCGATGAACAAATACTGTTTCAATCAACCTTTTGATGTAGTGGAAAGAATGGCAGATACATGCCAAGCTAGAAACAGCAAGACAAAAGCATTTAAGAGTGCTTAAAAAAACAAGTGTGGCAAGACATTTGGAATAAGACTACGATGCTAACAAGAAATACTGCTCAAGCCTGCAAACGGACTTACTTAACTACTGGATGCGGGCTTGATGTAAACCTCTCATCCAGTCCATAGACAAAAGGCATGCGGAAATAAAACAGAAAATAGATGAACAATGGACCTGTATATTCTATCAAAAATACCTGCAAAAAGAGAGAAAATAATTAGACAGCTGAATTAGATTATGGTTTTGCTTTGGTTTCTTTGTGATAACTGATGCAGTGGGATAAACACCTCCCTTGACCCAGGATGGCATTTAGAGAGTCGGGGAGGGAATAGCAGGTTTGAGCTTGGGCTGTGAAACTGGTAGACATGCACGTAAATGTTTTGCAATGCATTTGCTTCAGTTGCATACAAACAGCCATTGCCAGTGCAGCTGACATAGTATGGGTATGAAAAGATAAGAATGGCAGCCCAGAGATCACGATAAATACGCATGCATGTTACATTTGTGCAGCTCTCACCCTCCTCTTGCCCTCAAGGACTGTTGCTTTATTTTGGGTTAAAATGAAATTTCGTGCAGAATTTATCTTGAAAAAGAGGAGCTTTGTTTCTAATGAATGAATTTTGTTTAAGCTGGAAAAACAGTTTCTAAGTGTTCACAGGTGACCCTATCTGTATAAACAGTTAGCACAGCAGATGTCCCAGGAAACAATTCATTCTATATTCAAACAATCTTTCATTTGAACACAAAGAAAAAAAAATTAAAAAATGAGAGGAAACAAATGAAGCTATTATTTAACTTGATTTCATTTCATATAGGTGTGCATTTCTTAGTAACATCTCTTTAAATTGAAGTTAACTTTGGACCAAACATTAACAGCTGAATTTTCCACACTTCTATAAGTGAGGAAGGTAGGCTCCTTCCTCACTGACAGAGAAAGAAGCAAAATTGATTGTAATTCTGTAAAAAAAAAAAAAACTAAAAGAAAAAACCACCATGACAACCAACCACTGTTTTCTAATGTGTTTATAGAGTTATTTTGACACTCAGAAAAGTTGTGTTATTGTAACAACCAGAACATTCTCTGGTGAAGATCAGATTTGATTGTAGATGAGAAGTTTGCCTTTTTTATTTGATAGAACTGATGGATTTCTTGGCTTACATTTGAACGAAGTAGCTTGAAGGACAGGGAGAGCAGAATATAAAGGAAAGATTATGGAATGGCAGAAGTCTGGTGTTACTCTGCACTGTGATATTTTGGTATATATTACTGCATGTGTGTCTTGGAGTCTACATTGCCATTAGAAGTTTTTGCCTGTCTTACTGTTTTTTGGATTGTGTAATAGGTGCTTGATTTATCAGCATTGCATCCAAAGTAATGATGTGAAGATTCAGTCTTGCAGAACATTTGACCTTTTTTTATTTTACCTCCTATGAATGTTGTCTTTGCTATTTGTCATTAACACAAGATTTTATTAATGTCTCATAGCTAAGAAATGGTAAATGTGCCTTTAGATTATGGGGTACTTTTCCCTTAATGCTGTGGTGTTTCATTAGAACTAGTGTAATATGTAGACCATGGACCTTCTGAAGAACTGGAAGGGTCACTGGTCACCTCATTGCATAAAACAGCAGTGCTGTGCTGCCTGCCGAGTGAGTTGTGACAGAATTTGCATTTGAGCTAGGACAGTAAATATGTGAGGTCTTTGTGGATAGCTAACTAATACTGCAGAGATTATCAGCTGTCATTAGCCTGCCACTATCATCCTGGGACGCAGCCACATGCAGACAGCTAACTGATCTTATTTTCATGCATTTTCCTGCTCAAGTCACTTCAGTTACTGACATGTGAAGTTGCCTACATGCCTCTTTGCAGGACAAACTCATAGGAGTGTAATCCTGATCTTTGTCAGGAGAGTTACACAAGCCCTGTGAAGCAGAGCCCCAAAAACATTTAGACACCTAGTTCCTAGTGATTTTGTAGTAGACATCGAAATCCATTTGACAACCTGCACCTTAGTTCGGTAGAGCCAACCTAACCTGCAGCAAGTTTTCCACTGCTGCTCTCCCAGGGAACTAGGCATTCAGAATATCCTGTTACTGCTTTCCCTGATTAAATGAACTGAAGCAATGAGGATTCATTGCCTGCATCCACTATCAGAGCAGGCATCATGCAGAAATATTGGAGAGAGACAAAAAATGATGTAAGGATTAATTATGGAAAAATAGCCATTAAAATGGCTCAGACTTGAAGCATAGCTCACCGTAGTCCATCCTATCTGTGGCCCTAAATCTTTAAAGTATAAGGTAGCAGTTGTGCCAACAGGGAGGTGCTGCAGGATTTCCTCATCCCTCAGGGACTTTCCTTCTGAGAAGGAAAGAAGTAATTACATCTCAGTGAAATGCAAGTCAACTTCGGTAGCTTCCTAGCTTTATATTGTGCTTTAACCAACCTGTGAGATTCTTTGACGTGACATGGGTTTATTGGAACCTCAATAAACAAACTAAGAATGTTTATACTTTAAAATTAAGTATCACAGACACTGTGATTCTGTGATACTTAATTTTGATTTATCCCTGTAATCACATATAAGCCTGAATCCTCTATTCACACCAAGACAGGTAGGAGAATTCTCAATCCTATGTGCCTGCCTCGTCTAGTAGACTTGCTTCATCAGTGCTACAGCAGAATTTGCTGATAGGTCACTGCCCTTTAACGTAGTTCACTGACCTAGTCAGCTGCACCTCCATCCCTCTCCTCTCTTCCTCTCTTCTCATAGCTCATCGTCAGACAAACAGAAGCTAGGATAAGCTAAGATTGGAAGGCTCTCTTACAAAGGTTTTCATTGCCTCCTTTTTTCCCAAACAACCAGCTAGGAGGTGATTCCACAGGACTTGAGCTAGTACTCAAGCTTTGAATGCCTAGATTTGGGGGAATCTTCAGAAGGCCAGCATTTTCTCATGGCAAGTCTCACAACATAAGTCCACAGAGGAATCTGACAAGGTAGACCTTTGAAGAAGGAAATAAGATACTCATACACCTGTTTTTCCATGGACAGATCCTACACAATGAACTAATCTGCACCAGCATACTTTTAAGGGACTGTTTAAATAAAATTATGCTTAATGGAAGCAAAATAAGAAAGCGCTAAGAAGAAAATGCTAAGATAAATTAACACAGTTTGGCAATTAGACTTTCTTTTGTGCGCCCAGGCCATGTACTAAGAGGCTTCTAGTAGCAATACCTACAACTGCATTAATGAAGTCGGCCAGCTGGCATCAGCTTTGTCAGCAAATCCTACATCTACGGCAATGTGTTTTGCATTAGCTTACCTCAAAAGAACTGTAATACCTGCCTGAGAGCAGAGGATTATGTGAACTGACAGCTCTAACTCATGGCCTTTTTTGGTACTCCTAGCTGAGCATCACTGTGGAGATCATTTCACTGCAGCTAAGGGAAATTAGTATCTAGATTCTGTGCTGCCTGTGTTGAAAGCAAAAGTGCTCAGTAGTTAAAAAGTGCTTTGGAACAATGTGCAGACTCCTGAGTTAATTACCAAGCACCAGGCACATGGGTAGAACTCTGTTCAATACTTTCAAAGAATTAAATTTGTTCAGGATTCTCTTCAGCCTTCACAGTGCTAATTAACATAGCTGGAAATTCATTCTTAAGAGCTAATGCCCATGCAAAGGAATTCTTTTATGCTAGGCCCCTGCTCAAAGCTTTGTTACTCTAGTCCTCACCAGTACTTACTTGGATCAAGTTTTATCGACTGCCTTGCTGGATACCACCGAGGATCTGTAAGACCATACAGAATTGTGTGATATACCATGTTTGGTTTAAATCATCCACGATTATAATGAATGCCACCCAACAAGGTAAGATTTAGTTAAAGACTTCTAGGAATATTTATTCAACATGGATATTTGTGAGTAATTATGCAGCAGAAAAAACACAAAGGTATATCAATATAGCATAAAGAAATTATACTGAAATCTCACTATGATCGCATTCATGTGCAGGTTACTTATCATTATGTGTGTACATCACATGTTTCAAATTATCTAATTTTCTCCTGTTTATATAGTAGATACTCTGATGTGATGTGAACTGCTCCAAAAGTTATACTCACATAATTTATGGAACATCAATCTGATCTCCCTAATTGTGGCATTTGGTTCCACCTAGGGAACAAAAAATATTGCATACGTAAGATGTGTATTTTGAAAGACAACTACTAGGTGTAAGACTATTCAAGTAGAAATAGGACTTAAACAATGTAACAGTATAACTTTCTCACAGATGGCTAGGATTGGTATGGGTGTTTCAAAGCACTTCTTACAGGGAAACGGGAGGACAATTTGTGACACCGGTTTCAGAGGCAGCTTCTCTAGCAGTGATCAAGAGTTAGTACAACAGCATTGACAATTTGATGGCTTATAAGCAAGACACAACTGGCACCATCTTAGTGAAGCAGCTGAAGTTGTGCCCTTTGCCCAAAAGCTCCTTCTGGAAAAGAGCTGAAGTACTCTGTAGTCAGTATGAAGTGTAAATAATCATTGCCTCTTCAGTGGTCAAAGGAAGGCTATCAGGAGACTAAATACCCTTCATAAACACTAAGTTTACTTAAGAAAAGTTAGTAATTTTTAAATAGTCACCTAGCATTTTAAACAGATTTTTGGTTTACCTTATCTAGGAAGCATAGCTGTTTCTTTGTCTTCCAGTCAAGGATTTCCACCTGATAGGACACAAAATGATAATTACTAGTTATTGCCTAATAATATCTAAACTCTTAGTTGATTCTCAGATTCACACTCATTATTCAGAGTGAGATACCATTTTTCTCTGATCTGTGGACTGTATCAAAAATACTCCTGATGTGCTCAAGAGTCAGCTTTAATCATAGCCAGGTTGTCAAAGCACTCAACTTGCCAAAAAAAAAAAAAAAAATTCTTGCCAAATAAATTGTCTTCCTGGATATATTCAGAAGGAGAAGTAGCTAACTTATTGATCAAAACACATTGATCTGGGGTATTTTCTTATGCTAGACCAAGAGGAACAAATAAGGGATAGAGTAGTTTCACAGGAATCACTAAGGAACAGAATTTTTATGATTTGTAAAACTAGAAAGACAGTTTGAGGAAAAAAATTAAATGTGCACATATATGCATGTAAGCAAATATTCTGAGTACATACAGCTTGAAGATTAATGTGTATTGTTCCCAGAATATTGTCAATTGTGTATTTTATTTGTAAAGAGATTAGAAAACATCAGTGGACATAACGAACAAATGCAGCTAAAGATCTGGACTTCACAAATCCTTAAGAGGTTGTTACAGGAATATTCGGTGTTACTCTTGCCTGTCAGATCACCTGTATTAGTAACTTTATATTAGCATTTTATATTCCAAGCAGCGGTTTAGCTACAGCTCTGAAAAGAAAAGAGCAGTTTATTTCTGTGACCAAATGGCACTTTGGCAAAAGGTTACGATTTTAATCAACAGCCAAGCAGAAAAGTCCCCAGAAGTTTCAAAGCACAGTTGCAGCAGGCTAGCAAGACCTAAAATACAGTGATGGTGGTTTAATTTCATTTGTTCTCATCAAACACTGTAATGGAATTTTGTGGTATAGCTAAGAGTGAAAGTCCAAAGCTTATCTGTCATAGTAAATGAATGGGACTATCATTACTTAGTACCAAAAGCATTTGTTGATTTATTTTTTTAAATAAACATCTAGCATTAATTATGTTTGGTATTAACTGGCCAAGAGGATAGATTAACATTAGACTTTAAATATGATTCCTTACTAAAAATAGGAGTCACAGTCCAGTGTCTTTCTAATAGGGTTGCTTTGAAGAGATCACTTGGTTAGAGTATCTTATTTCCTTGTTTCACTTGTCCCAAATTGTTCTTTCTCTATCAGTGCAGCAATGGAGCACTTCAGCTCCAGCCAGAAGTATCAAATCTGATCTCCACAAGGGATACTAACGCAGTGGTGTTTTTTACCTGTGCATTGTAAGCTCTAAGTGGACATCAAGGGACATAAGCACTTTTCCTTCTTTGTGATCCATAACAAATGTATAACAGATTATTTGGATATTATAAGTTTTCTCTTGATTTTTTTTATATTTGAAATAACACAAATTTCAAGTTTTAATGTCTCTGTTTGTGGGACATCTCCATGGCAAAGGAAATGAAGTGGATTCCCTTCCCAGAGGGCTATTCTTGAAATACATCATTCTGACTCTTGCAATCCACAGAACAAGTACTGTGAGGGCTGTAAACCACTTTTTGTCCCTTCTGATATGAGTTGCTACAGGGATTATTGAAAACTTGGTGTATTTCAAAGCTTTTGTGTCAATGAATACCATTGGGCTGCCCTAGAGACTGCAACAGCGCCCACAGTTTTAGCAGTCTCCTTCCCATTCCATACCTACTCCCAGCATATACATTTTGGATCAGAATCCCCCAGGGGCAGTTTTACTCTATGGCCTTCAGTGGCTGTATTAGAGGAATCTTCTAGTCAGAGAGTGGTTTGGGTATCTTTCTGCCACCTATGCTCTTTTAATTGGGTTATTCTCATTACACACAAGGTCAGACTGAAAATTACAGAGCATTTTCTTTTGCTCTATGGTTTTCATGTGAGTGGCTGTACAGAAATTTAGGTATTTCTGTGAACCTTTGGAAGCAGTGTAGAAGACAAACAAACAAATCATCCAAAATCTTCTATACTGTTACTTGGTTCTATTCCAGTACATCTCATTGAAAGGCCAAACTGACATACCCGCCTGTACTGCCCATTTCTTCAAATACCTAAAGTGAGCCTATAGAGATGATGGATCCAGACTCTTCTTGAAGGTGCACAGTGATAATGCTGAGAGGCAACGGACACCAGTTGCAATCTGGGAAAATCCAACCAGATACAAGGACATTTTTTTCATCATGAGCTTGGCGAAACATTGGAAGAAGTTGCCTAGAGAGGATGTGGAATCTCTGTCCTTGGAGGTATTTAAAAATGGACTGGACAAGACCCAAAGTTATTTGATCTAGTTGTATCTGCTTTGAGCAGGAGTTAGACTACATGACTTCCAGAAGTCCCTTGCAACCTGAATTATTCAAGGTTTCTACTTTTTTTTTTGGACACCCATTCTTGAACTTCAAACACTTCAGCTACTTTCAGTTACTTTAAAGATCTAAGCAAATATTAAACATTTTTTTCCCTTTTCAGAAAGACAGCCACAGGAATGCAGCTTTAGATTCTGCTCCAGTCCTTAGAAAGTTGTGCGACAACAAAGTGAAAACAAGGTGACTGTTTCCTCTAATTATCACATCTCTTAGCCGTATCAGAACATCCCCCAGTGTTTAGATGTTCCCTGCATAAGGGACAGAAAAGCCTGATCCAAGGCAAGAAATGTTATCTTTTCTGAACATAATGGCCAATCACATAAACCCACGTAGCACTGAACACAGTGTTTTCAGTCTTCAGGCGCAGCACCAAGTCAGTTAATGTACTGGTTGGCAACAGTTGATAAATACCCAGCAATCTGTTCTTGGAACACTTACTGATGGGTATCATCCCTTTCAAACATAAATTTTTTGGCTCAGAGAACTTTAATTTCTATGTGTTTTCAAAGCATTTAGCACAATAGGACACTGACTGTTGGCCTGCACTAGTGCAGTATGACTTACAGTCCACTTATTTGGTGAATTTTTAAAGTCATATTAAATTACAGCTTCTCTAAAACTTTGAGTAGAACTTAATCAATAGGCAGATTGGTGCAAGATAGCTATGTTAAAACTCTTTTCTAAGTGACTACAAATATATATCTTCAACGTTTAGATGACAAATTTGTTCTAGTGCATAAGGAATAAAGATTATTAGTGTCTTTAAAAACAGAAAAAATCTTGATTATTATTGTTTAGAACAGGTCAAGGGCAAAGAATAATCAATATATGATATAAGCAGAGGAAAAGTACATTCAACTGTTAAACGTTTATTCAGAAAATAAAAGGGGGAAAAGATTATTCATAGGGGAAAAACAGTTGAGCAAACAGCGTTTAAAAAAGATTTTTAAGATGCAGTATCCCTGCAATAGGATTACAAAAATACAATTGATCAAGTTCACGCAGTTTAAAGCCATATCAAATGCTTAAGGATCAACAGATCTTCAAAAATTACATGATAACTATTGTGGAAATACTGACACACTTATCATGTCTGTGCATCCTGGAAGTTTTATTTGCAGCCATTTGTACTCAGCAGATTCACTAAACTGTAGCTGAGTGAGATTTTGTGAGCACTGACATAAGCATATATTGTATTGATTTCTTTTGAAATTACTCAGTAAAAAAAAATTGCTTATTTTACAGTCTAGGAACCAACCAGCCCAAGAAAGAGCAATGCAGAACGGATTTTCCCTGAACTATTAGAATGCTTACATAAGCCAGGTTCCTTGAATTTACACTAAAAAAAAAAATCCAGTGGTTGCCACAGTCCTAATTGAATCTTTCTAAACATTTTATTTTTCCTATGGAATTAGTCATTTTCTCTATCTCCTCAGACTTTTCTGGTATACTGTGTTGTTCTTGAAGGAAGTAAGCGTGCCTTAGTGTGATCTCACACTAGGGCATATCAAGAATAACTTTCTTGAAGTCAATGGAATTAAGCCAAAGGGAAATTGCAGTAAGTGTATTTACACTAAAAACTATGTTTGTGCTGCTGCTACAAATGACTTTCAGTCCAAAATTTCCCTTGCACAGGAATGTGCAAACTGTTGCAGAGGATGAGTCTATGGATCCATCTAGAACGGTATCTTTCTTCCTGCTGCAGCCAGCAGCAGGTGACTCAGAAAAAGTAGTAAAACAGGGCAAGAATATAGTGACTGGGGTTAAGGGAAGAGGCAGACACAGAGACCGCTATTTTCCTGCCCCAGAAGTGCTGCCTTTTTATTTAATAGCTTTTCATGGATTTCTCCTCAATTAGTTTATGCATTGCCTTTTAAACCTGTGTAAACATTTTGCATGCAGAGTGTCCTGAGGCGGGGAGTTCCATAGCTTAGCCATGTGCTGTGCGAGGATTTCCCAAAGCAGAACCAAGGCAAATGTTTAACCACAGAGCAAAATTTCATCGTCTTACCTGTGGAGTGCTGTACCTTATTCTGTAAGTAGTCCAACTAAGTAAAGCCTTACCTTTCTGAAGCAATTGGCTCATCTTTCATGAGACTAGAATCTTATTACATTAGTTCACTGTGTATAAAGAGAGGAGATACGGTGACACCAATACTCAAAAGTTTTTATAAAATTAAATTTCACTTTTTTAGAATTTAGATGTCTAACATTTACAGATTCACAAGACACATTAGGTCCTTACTCCTCAGCTTCTCAAGTTCTGCTCCTATGCAAGCCAGTAAGCATCACTGTCTGAACTGTGCTAAAACTCATAGTATGTTTTTATTTCTTCCACCTCTTTCAGATTTGTTAGTTAGGCATGCTTGCATCTAAATCCTTGAGGACCTTGATCCAGTAAGTATCTTTATCCCAAAGTCAACACAATGCACAGCATTTCGATTATAGAATCGTAAGATAGTTGGGTTGGAAGGGCCCTTTAAAGGTCATCTAGTCCAACCCCCCTGCAATAAGCAGGGATGTCTTCAACTAGATCAGGTTGCTCAGAGCCCTGTCCAACCTGACCTTGAATGTTTCCAGGGATGGGGCATCTACCACCTCTCTGGCCATTATT